TTTTAAATAAATGGGACCATTTCACATTCCCAACAGCACTGTGAGAGAGGCCCATTTGTTCTCATGTTCTTACCAAAACATGATATGGTCAGACATGAACTTTTTAGCCATTTTAGTGGCTGTGTAATTCATTGTAACCTTATTTAATTTCCGTTCCTCAGTGACTCATGATGCTGATCACCGTTCACATGCTTATTACCACTTGTATCTTTGGTAAAATGTTCAAATAATTAGCACAATTAAAATAATTAGCACTGAGTTGTAAGAGCTCTCTATATTCTTTCTCAGATTCATTATTGGTATATAAGAAAGTTATTGACTTCTGTATTTGATTTTGTAAACTGCTACTTTGCAAAATTTTTTAGCAGTCTTTTGTTAGAGCTTTTTGGATCTTCTAGGTAAAGGATCATAGCATCTGCAAAACAGTGATATTTTGACTTCTTCTTTTCCCCTTCTCTTGCCTAACTACTCTGGCTAGAATTTAAAAATTATACTTGGGCACAATGTCTTTGTTTATTTTTATGTGGTGCCGAGGATCGAACCCAGGGTCTCACACGTGCAAGTCAGGTGCTCTACCGCTGAGCCATAACCCCAGCCCTCTGGCTAGAATTTTTAGCATTATATTAAATAGGAGTGTAAGAGTGGACATTCTTGTCCCAGATATTAAAGGAAATGCTTTCAATTTCCCATGAGGTTGGTTTTGGGGTTTCCATATATAGTTTTTATGATGTTGAAGTAGGTTCCTTATCTACTCAGTTCCTTCAGTGTTCTCACAAAGAATGGGTACTAAATTTTGCCAAAGACCTTTTCTGCATCTATTGAGTTAACTAAGTGATTTCTGTCTGTAATTCTACTTATGTTACCTGTTCTTTTCCCATATTTGTTGTACTCCTGTATTGGGTTTTATGTAWCTCTTGGGAGGGAAATTTCTTGGGCTCTTATGTGTGGGCCTTTTCGGGTACAGTCTTACATTTTCAAAAAGTGAACAGAGAATGCAGAAGAGATGTAGCAGGTGATGGTTTCAGAAAGGAAGATACAGGAGAAACAAAGTAATGGGAGAGGGGAAGACAGAGCAATCAAATTTGGCTATTAGTATAAGAAATGAGAAAAAGAGAAACAAAATGAAAACACTACAAAACAAACCCAAACCATACAAATCAAAAAATGCAAACCCTCAAAAGACAAAGCAAGGAAAATTAACTACATTAAAAATGCTGAAGGGACTGGGGTTGTGGCTCAGTGGTAGAGTGCTCGCCTCCCATGTGTGAGGCCCTGGGTTCAATCCTCAGCACCACATAAAAATAAATAAAGGTATTGTGTCCATCTACAACTAAAAAAAATATTTTAAAAAAGGAAAAAAATACTGAAAATGAAGGAAAAAAGAAACAAATATGCACATGTATATATGCCCTGAACCACTCAGCACAGCAAGTACAGCAGCTGCTATGACAAACAGCATAGTTGTTCCTCAAAACACTAAAAATGGAATCACCTTATGATCCAGATAGCTCAGTTCGGGTATATATCCAAAAGATGAAAAGCAGGATCTTGAAGGGATGTTTGCACATCCATGCTCACTGCAACATTACTCACAATAGCCCCAGAGGTGTAAGCACCCAAATATCCATTATCAAGTGGATGAAGAAAATGTGGTATATACCATGGTATATAATTCAGCCTTTATTAAAAAGGAAGGAAATCCAGTCGTGTGCTACATCATGGATGAACCATGAGGACATTTTGCTAATAAGCCAGTCAAGACTTCTCAATCAAATACTGCATGATTCCACTTATATGAAATATCTATAGTATTCAACTCATGGAAACAGAAAGTAGAATGGTACCTATTAAGCGCTGCAAGGAGAGTAAACAGGTAGTTGTTGTTCAGTGAAAAGAGATTCATTTTGAAACATTTCAATAGATGTGGTACCACAATGATTACCATAGTTTTGAAAGGTGTACTGAAATCAGAAAGTGTGAGTCCTCCAGCTTTATTATTATTATTTTTTTCATGACTGTTTTGACTAGGCAGAGTTCCTTGAAATTCTGTAAGAATTTTAGGATTATTTTATTCTGTAAAAAATTGATAGGGATTGCATTTAATCTGTAAATCACATGGCAAAGTATGGATATTTTAAAAATACTGTCTTTCTATCCACAAACATGAGGTGTCTTTTCATTTATTTTTCTAATTTACGAACTTTCAGCAATTCTTTGTAGTTTTTGCTGTAGAAAGTCTTCTGTTTTCTTGATTGTTATTCCTAAGTGCTTTATTCTTTTCAATGCTATTGCAAATAGAATTATATTCTTTTAAAAAAATGTATCTTTATTTTGTTTATTTTTATGTGTTACTGAGGATCGAACCCAGGGCCTCACATATGCTAGGCGAGTGCTCTTCCGCTGAGCTACAACCTCAGTTCCTAGATTTATGTTCTTAATTTATTTTGGGGGTTTCTCATTGTATAGAAATGCAAATAATTTTTTAATGTTGATTCTGAATCCTTAAACTTTTCTGAATTTATTAGTTTTAACAGTTTTTTTTTTTTTTTTGAGGAGGGGCATTGTTTCTTTGGGGGTTTCTACGTACAAGATTATATCAAAAACAGCTGCAAGTGGTCATGCTGGTGTATACCTGTAATTCCAGGTACTCAGGAGACTGAGGCAAGAGGATCACAGGTTCAAGGACAGTCTGGGCAACTCAGTGAGACACTGTCTCAAAAATAAAAAGGGATGGGGATGCAGTTCAGTGGCAGAACAGTTGTCTCGCCATGTGTGAGGCCCTGGGTTCTACCACCCCCACTAAAAAATAAAAATACAAACATAACTTTACTTCTTCCTTTCCTATCTGGATATCTTTTGTTTCTTCTTGTAAAACTGCTCTGGCTAGAACTTCTAGAACTATGTTGAATAGAAGTTGTGAAGCAGGAGGATCATAAGTTTGAGGCTGACTCCCCTGTCTTAAAATAAAAAKGGCTGGGGATGTAGCTCAGTGGTAGAATGCCCCAGGGGCCAATATATTCCTTTTGTGAATAGGGAAAAGTGAACAAAGTTTGCTTTTTGTTGTTCCTACTTTAGAGGAAAAAATTTCAGTTTTCAATGTTGATTTCAGCTGTGGGCTTTTTATATGTGGCCTTTATCATGTCCAGGGATTTTCCTTGTGTTCCCAATTTATTGTTTGCATCATGAAAGGCTGGATTTTGTGAAATGTTTTCTGCAGCTATTGAGATGGTTATGTGGTTCCCCACTTCCTGTTCAGGTAGTGTGGTATATCATAGGATTGATTTTCATGTGCTGAAACATTCTTGCTTTCCAGAAATAAATCCCACTTAGTCATGGTATATACCATGGGTGCTAGTCTGTTTTCTATATTGTCTTAGGTATCAGGTTAAAGTTACTTAAGCTCTGTCCCCTTTACTATCCCTCCTTCACTCCTCTCGTTCAATAATTTCAAATGACATGTCTTCAGTTTATTGTGTTTTCTCCTTGACCAAGTCTATTGCTGAACTCTTGTTGCTTTTCAATTCTGTTACTGTATTCTTCATTTCTAAAACGTTTGGTTCCTTTTTATAGTTTCTCATGCTCATACATTCATTTTGTTCATGCATGCATTGTTTGCAAATTTCATTTATTTGTGTACTTTAGCTCATTAAGCATCTTTAACATGGTTATTTTGAATTCCTTGTCAGATAATACACAGATCTCCATTTCTTTAGGGATGGCTTCTGGAGATTTATTTTGCTCCTTGGTTGAGCCATGTTTTTCTATTTCATGTATGCCTTGTGCTCTTTTGCTGAGATCTGGGCTTGTGAAAAAACTGCCACCCACTTAATAAATGCTGTTAGGAATCGGAAAAACAAAAAATAAAAAAACCAACCCTGCCACTTCTCCCAGTCTTTACAGATTGGCTTAGTATAGGGTGATATCTTCACAGCTAGTCCAGCTAGATTTTTAGGGCCTCTCAAACGTTTTCTAGAACTGTAAGAGTTCTGACTGTGGGAATATATAGGATAGAGTTTCTCTGGTGAGCAAACTCCTGGAGAATAGACATCTTGTTTCCGACAGCTGGAACATTTTGCAGTGTTCCCCAGGAACTCTTAAGAAAACCAATGTATGCTTGGCAGGAGCACATATCATAAGCAAAAACATCTTACATTATGACCTAATGTAACCTAATGGTATAAATAAAACTGACAGTTAAGATGAGCAGCCATTTTTGCCTCTGAACCTTGCTTCTGTCTCCTTTTGATTTCTYTACTGTACCCATTAGATTTGAGTGTGTAAACTTCCAGATTTGCCATTTTAAGTCATATCTTGCTCCCCCTGGTGTCTGTCTGTGGTCCTGCAGTCTCTCTGGAGCTGCAACATGACTGCAGCAGATACCCCAGGCAACCAAAATAGCACACTGTTCCTGTCAGAGCTGCCAAGCCACACTGTCCAAAGTCAGTCCTTTGGGCAGACTCACTATAAACCAGAACATTGTTCATACATGCTCCTTTACCCTTTCCCTCCTGAAAGGGAAAACCTCTTGACCAGTTTCTAGAATTCTCAAAGGCAATTTGGTCCATCTACCTTGAAGTCAGTATCTCCATGGGAGAATCAGTCTGGAGCTTCCTATTCTGCCCTCTTGCTGATGTCACTTTCTACACATATTGACTTTTGAGTATTCTTATTTCTGCAGAAATGCTCCAGGCTCATCTTGTATATATCCCAACTCCAGCTTCAGGATCAACCAAGCACTTTGTTTCCTTTAATTGGAGAATGGTATTAGCAATAGCTCTCTGAAAGTACATGGGAGATAATAACCTACGAGACCTAACCCATGTCTGAAAGGCATTATTCTACCTTTATACTCATTTGCTATTGTGATGAGGTAGACTTTTATCTAACAAACTTTCCCTAAGAATTTGACAGTTCTCTTCTTTCTTTCTATGTTGCTGTTAAGAATACCAAAACATTACTGAGTATTCTTTTAAATATACCCTGTTTTTTTTCTTTCCTTCTTTATGTTCCAAGATTTCAGTTGTAAGCCTTGGAATATATTTTTATGCAGTGTGCTAGGCACTTGAAGATATCACTCGGTTGCCTTTACGTCCAGTGAAATTTACATTTACGAGTTCCCATCTTTTCTTTGTTCTTTCTGGAGTTCCTGTCATTTGGATCTTGGACCTCCTGGACTGAATAATTTGTTTCTCTTCTTTCCCACCTTCCATCTTTAATCATTCCAGCATTTGGAAAATTTTCTTAATATCACTTTCCAATGATTCTGTTAGCTTTAAAATTTCTGCTATTATGTTTTAAGTCAACAGGAGTGTTTTCTCCTCTGAGATTTGGCAGGCGGTAGTTCTCATTGCTTTCCATTTGACCTTTCTTCCATGTTAGATGCTTTCATTATAAAATCTGGTAATTATGGAGCGAGTCTCATAAATAAGAATTAGGACTTCTATAGTTTGGATCTTAATGGCACCCAAAGAGCCATGTGTTAAAGGCTTAGCTCCCAGCTTGGCACTACTGGGAGGTGGTAGAATGTTAAGAGGTGAGGCCTGGTGGGCAGTCTTCTTGTCATTGGGATGGGCCCCTTGAAGGGGGACTGTGGGACCCCCAACCTCTTCCTTTTTTGTCTTCCAGGCATGAGGTGACAAAAAAAAAAGGAAAAGGATTTGCTCCACCATGATGTGCTGCTTTGCCACAGGCCCAAAAGCAACCGGGCCAACCAAGAAGGGATGGAAACTGACAGAAGTTGTGAGCCCAAAATGAGCCTTTTCTCCTTATAAGTTGATTACTCAAGTATGTGTTATAATAACAGAAAGCTAACACGGCATGTACAACACCGAAGTAAAACAGTAACTATCAATTTTGAACTTAATTATAGGTTGGTCAGTGAGCCATTAGCTAATACCTGGTGTTAGAATTTTTACAATTTTCTTCTTTTAGTGGGCAGTATATATAAAGCCACATAAATCTTGTTTCCATTGCAGTAGTGTATAAAAAGCAAAGTGGCCTTATCTTATGCTAGGAAGGCATGTCTTTGCCAGGGGTTTGGGTCATAATGGATAGTCCTGGGTTAGGGTACAGGGCAGGGGTATAATCACATCAGAAAACTATCAAGGCAGAGGCAGTATCAACTGCCTTTTCCTAAATTCTGCCCTGAGCATCTCTTTGGTTAATTTTAACCTGGCTCTTCTGCAAGATGTTTCTGTGTTAGAGCCAGTTGACATGGTCCCAAAAGCTCTGAAACAGTGAGCCAAAATAAATTCTCCCCCTTCAGTTATTTGTCGGGTATTTGTTATAACCACGAATATAACTGCTTTCGGTAAGGTCTGAATCCTTCTAGGACTGGTTTGGGGAATCTTCCAAACTTGTAAATGCCCTTGTTTTCAACTCACTGATTTCCACCATCCAGGTTCACTTTATGTTAGAGTTTGGCTCTGGAATGCTACTAAGGTCTCAAGTGTTGCAAACTTAGACAACAGTGCAGCAATGTTCAGAGGGGGCTTTTGGGAAGTGACTGAACCATGAGGGCTCTTCTGATCTGTCAGTGGATATAATCCATTGATAGGTGAATGGATTACATGGGGGCACTGTTGGAGGAATTAGGTCACTAGGGGCATGTCTGGAAGGGTGCTTCTTATCTCTGGCCCTTCCTCTCTTTCTCCTTTCCAGCTGCTATGAGCGGAGTAGCTTTCCTAAGCTCTGACACACCCTTCTGTCATGTTTCGGCCACACTGAAACCTCTGAAAATGAGCCATAATAAACTTTTCCTCCATTAGGTTATGTCAGGTATTTTGATCAAAGTGATGAAGAGCTGACTAATATACTCTATTACCCTCTCATGCCAACTGTGGGGGTGTAGAGAGTTGTCTAGCCACTCTTCCCTATTTTCATGCCTTGCCTTTATCCTTAGCCCTAGAGGAAATTGGTACTGAGGATTCTGAGCTGTAAATACATTTCTTAATCCCTCTGTGGCCTATTTAAAACTGGGCTTTGTTGGGTCTACAAGTTAGTTAATGCCCATCTATCTGCTTTCCAGTTCCCCAAATTCTGGTAGTTGCTTCCTTTGATTTCTCCAACTTTGTGGGTGTGTTTGAGTGCATTTGTTGTAGCAGTCATCAGGATGTGTCATTCGGACTGTCCTTTTCAAAAGAATCTGATGTGGAAGTGAGCTGGCTGGCAGCTTCTGGCTGTTGTATTTTGAGATCCATCAAGGCATTTGTGCCAAGGCAATGATTCCTGTGGGCTACTCCTAGACACTAACTCACCAAGGCATGGGGCACAAAGGCAGGCAATTTCCACCAAACTCTAAACTCTGATGACAGGAATACTTGCCTGGAGACTCTCCACTGGCCTGACTACATTGCCTCAGAGCTGCACTGCTTTTTGTGTACTCGTCCTCCCTTTTCTCAGACCTATGCTGTAGTAGGAAGTAACCATGCTTGTTCTCGTCTCCTGTCATCCTTCATTTACGTTTCTTCTAATACACGTTTGTGCATCTAATTTTGTTTTGGTATATGCTTCTTTAAGGACTCAAACTGTCAACCAAGGTTTTAGGAAGAGGTGATATTAGGTTTATAATTCACTGTCTTAATACAGAAGTCACAATTAAGTTTTTATATGTTTAAAAGATTACAAGTCCAGTTTCATTAAATCATAGGAGAATGAATCACTTCTAACAAACATATCTGAAAGAGATTTTGATTTACTGAAACTTAAAATATGTCATCAAATTACCCAGGAAAATCCAGGTAACAGAAATATATAACATGTTCATTTCTTTAAGAGGTCTCAAATTAGTTTTAAAAGGCCAAAATGATGTACATATAAGTATATATACTGTGCCATTTAAATCACTTCTACTTTCTGTAACTGAAGAACTCAAGTAGAGAAATAAACTATAAACTTTGTGGTGCTGAGGTAATATCATAACCTTTCCCCAACGTGACTGCATAGGTGTTTAAGGTTAAGTGTGAATATTATGTGAGGTCTCAAGCTAATTAATTAATCCCATTTGAATTTTAGGYCCAAAGCGGCCTATCAGACATGCACCTGAAGGAAGTATCTTCAACAGGTCCATGTGTACACAGGTATAGGCGATGGGTTTAAGTCAGGGAAAGGCTTACTGAACCACACTGATTATTCAATATTAGAAGTCTGCAGTTGTTGGCAACACAGAAACATACACAGTCTTCATATTCAAAGTCTTCATGGGGATGTCTTCTGTGATTTCTAGAATGGAAAGAAAAAATTTAAAAAACCAATATTCTATCTAGTACGAGTAAGTAACATATTTTAAAAAATGTTAACTGGCTATGTAGTAAGAAATCTGGCCTCATCCTAAGTAAGATTTTGTCTTTGTCCCTGCTTCTAAAGTTATCCTCTAAATCCTTGGAATTTCCTGATAGGAATGTCTTTGTCACTCATGGCAGCACGTGACCACACACAATAGTTGATGCTAATGAGATGACTCATGGTAGAGTTGGCACACCAGAAAGACTTACTGTATGATTCAGGGTGGGGACTGAGCCACACAGTATCAGTTGATATAGAAACCAGTCAGCTGTGGGAGCAATGAATCAAATCATGCCTATATAATGAAACCTCACTAAAACTGACACCAAGGCTTTGTGAGCTACCCTGGTTGGTAATACTCTGTACTGTCACATTTGAAGGAGGTAACATTGATGCCATTCTGGCCCTGGGGATAGGACAATGGAAATACTTGGTTCTTTCCTAAATTCTGCCCTGAGCATCTCTTTGGTTAATTTTAACTTGGCTCTTCTGCAAGATGTTTCTGTGTTAGAGCCAGTTGACATGATCCCAAAAGCTCCCCTCTGCATGAGGAGAAGAGGACCTGGAGCCTCTCATTTGAACCCCTGTAAGATTCTACCCATTAATCTCTTTCTTTAGCTGGTTCTAATTTGTATCCTTCAACTATAATAGACAATCCATGGGTGTAATACCTTTCTCTGAGTCCTTTTGGCAAATTATTGAACCTGAGGATGATTTGGGATGCCCCTGCCCCTGGAAGTTGTAGTTGGTGCCAGAAGTGATGGTGGTCTTGTGTAGATTCTTTACTTTGATTCACAGTTGAACCTTATCTCCTTGCAGTTGGAATGAGAAGTTTTGGGCAGACTACTGGAAACATCCAAAGGACCATTTCCTCACTTTACAGTGTGACTTACTCTGGGTACTGCCCAAGATGCTTTTTCCCCTCATAAGCATATATTTTACCAATAGAAAAAGTCTAGAAGGAGTGTCAACCCACTAGTACAGACATGCTTTCTAAAATAAAACTCTCTATAACTGGAAGAATATCCGAAGAATATCTATTCCAGGTAAGGGTGAGCAGGGGTACACGACAGGCCTAAGACATGTTGTTACTATAAAGAAGTCACCAAGGCTGAAGCGCTCATGTCAAAGAACACACAGGATTCAGTATGGCCAATGATGAAACCTTTGCACATCTAAAAGTATAATAAAGATGCAGTGTATTAAAACATACTAACTATAGGGAGAAAAGAAAGGAAAAAGAAATTTATAAGTTATTTGCCTACTGTGGTACATTTTGTCTCTGAGACAAAATGAGATCTGAATTTAAAAAGGAAAAGAACCAGCTTTCTCAAAAATAGCTGAGGTCTTAGCAGACAATTCTGGATGTGAAAAACCCTCTAAGCTGTCTCCTTAATGGTAATGACAGGATCTGGAGATGTTTAGAATTTAGGGTTAAACACAAGAAGATGCTGAAGAGTTTCTAAATTATAAGCATTTTGTGGTCTAATTTACTAGGTTATTAATACTTTATGAAAAAAAATTTAAAAGGCAAATTATAATGAAAATGAGACTACAGATACTGGACTGAAAAAGATACTGCACTGTAAGAAGTCCCAGCTTTGTGATAAGCTTGGGTAAGTCACCCTTATGCTCTTAGCTACTAAACTTTTGCCTGGCTAACCTCAGAGAAAAGGAACGGAGTAAGACAGTATAGGTAAGATCGCTGGTTGTATGAATCATGGTAGTATTATAAATATTGAATTCACAGAGACATGATTCTATCCGTGACCAATTCCAATCATTTAGATTACTTCTACTTTCTATACCTAAGAACTCAAGTACAGAAATAAACTTTGTGGGGCTGAGAAGCATGTGGTGATCAATGGATTCAAGGGCTAAGGAAAAGGAGGTAGGAATGTGCTTATCATGATAGGAAGTTACATGTCCTACAGATGATTCTTACCACCACACCACTGTGAAAGAACCATGTGTGTAGGAGGGAAAGTAAAAACAGCCTCCTGATAGAGGGAAAAACTCAAAGACGTAACTGGAAAGTCAGACAAGGCCCAGAACATGAAGGATCTTGTGTGCCAAGCTGAAGTTCTTGGAGTATTAAGCAATGGGGACCTTGGGGACTCTGAGTGGGGAACAGCATCATGGCAGGAATGTTCATGAAGACAATTTTGACGGAAGAATAGACGTAGACAGGTGAAATGGATGACAACACCCTAAACAAGGTGAGAGGATAAAAAACAAGGGAAAGTCACTGAAAGTAAATCTAAGGTAGAGTTGGCTGCTTTTCATTAAAGGGAGGGAGAGAGGAACTCAAGAGAAAATAAGGATTTGTACTTTATTAAGATCTTTTGGTGGTTTCTAATGGCTTAATGCTTTTTGTACTGAAGTCTGTGAAAGAGAAATTAGAAAAATCTCTTGGTCTACACCAACTAGGACGTCTAAAACAGCCCTCCTCAAGAAACTGGGACTTCAAAAAGGAACAGATAGCAAAGGGATAAATATGAATAAGATCTTTCACCAAAGGTGGGAGGGGAGAATGCACTGTTTAATAATAGCCTCCCCAACTACTTATCCACATTCTAACTTCCCAGAAGCTGTGAATGTAACCTTATTTGTAAAAAGAGGAAATAGAAGAGAAGGAAGCAATGTGACCAGGGAGCGATGGGGCTGCAAGGAAAGGATTCTTTCCTCAGCCTTAGGAGAGTGTAGCTTCACTGATATCTTGATTTCAGGCTTCAGAACGGTGGAAGAATAAATTTCTGTTGTCTTAAGCCACCCAGTGAGTGGCAGTTCACTGTGATGGCCCCAGGAAACCAGAACAGAAAGCAGGAGTCACTCAGCCCTACAGGGACATGCAGAACCTCCAGGAATTTCTGGCCTTGGGCATGATGGACTCAACTTTCTAAATACACTCTATGGCCCAAACAACTGAGCTGAAAGACAGTGTGGGTGAACAGTGTCTCCAAGGAACTAGAAGTGTTCCTTAATTTTAAGTGATCCTTAAAATTGGGCTTCAACAGAAACAGTATAGAATAAGCAAAACAAATGAGTGACATAAACAGAAAGATGGAAATTAATRAAGAATGTTTAAAAAAGGAAATGCTAGAAATCAAATCAGCACTATAATAGAAACAATGACTTCTATCAAAAAATATAAACCCTTAGGCATATCTTAGTAGAACTGCAGAAAATCAAAGACAATGGTAAAAATCTTGAAAGAATCCACAAGAAAAAAACACCTTATTATGGAGAAGAAAGAATAAATCAGCCAAAATAAACTGGACTATGGCATACAAGGATGAAGAGAGGGAAAATACAAACACATAGGAGAGAGGCAGGGTGGTGTCTCTTGAAAATGTCTCATCAAAGTTCAAGGAAGAGATGATTATTAGAGAAGGGATAAGAGGTTACTTTGGAACACACAATGCCTGGCAACTTTGCACAAGTGCTAAAAGACATAAACCCTGATTGAAAAACCTGCCTTATGCTTTGTAAGCAAAAGGATGGAAGGGCAGGAGATTTTGAGTTGGGATGGTGAAAAGGATGGCCATGAACAGATCCCAGGAAGGGAAGTTGTTTGGGAAATGACTCCAGAGGCACCAAAAGTGAAGTGCTGGGTGAATAAGCAGGATTCCATGACAAAACTCCAGTGAAGGCTATGATGTCAACAGAGAAGTTGACAAAAAGTGCCACCAAAACTGAAATCACAAAAGAGGTGATATGAAGGGGTAAAACGAGGGGAGAAAACACATTGCTGCTAGACATCAGCTTGTGGAAGTTGCTGTCCTCTGATTTTGTTTTCGGAATTAATGGATGTCACCTACTGACCTAGCTATTCATGTTATATGGGCCAGTAACAAAATGGGAGTAAGCTTCATAAGTTGAAAAGGGAGGTAACCGACGGTAATGTCAGTTAAAATGTTTCCTTTAGGCTAGTATCTTACAATGTGATAATTTTGATTCTTGAGGAAGAGAACAAATTTTAGATCAGCAAATATGCCCATTTACCTAGAAGCCCTATATTTGTAAATTATTTTCAAAGCAAAAAGTAATTACCCTTTCAATTATTATTTCTAAAAAATTATACTGTAGTTAGTTTCTAAAGAAATAGTGCAAAAAAAAAAAAAAAAAAAAACAAGTACCATCTCTTATACCCATAATCTATAAATGGTTCATGGCATTAATAGCAACTTTCAATGAAGAAAAAAATTCACGGTCCATAATCCCCTTACCTTGTGTTTGAGTCTCATTCAGAAACAACTTTAGCTTCCTGCTTCGCAGGCCAAACACCTTGGCTGCCTCATACAGGAGACCTTGGTGGGTGAGTCCATTCTGCCCAAGTGGGTTTTCAAGCAGGAGGGTGCCCACTGTTCCCATTAAACACTCTGCAGAAGGAAAACAACCTGGATTAATGCCTGAGAGCTCACCTTCTAACACAGGCAGTGACTATGGACAGCTCTAATGGGTGGCACTGTTGGCTCCCAGGGCATCTAATAGCTAGACATACGGTCTGTAGAAACAGTCCTAGACAGTCTCCAAAGGTGAAGGAGACAAGGGAAAGAAAAATGGACTTATATAAAAGCCAGCAGCTTGGGGGAAGGACAGTCAGTAGTACATAGTCAAGTGAAAAACCAAAAGAAAGACTTTCATAAAAATGCATATAATGACTGGGGCCGGGGCTGTGGCTCAGTGGTAGAGCATTTGCTTAGCACACGTCAGATACTGGGTTTGATCCCCAGCATCACATTAAAAAAAAAAAAAAAAAAAAAAAAAAAAAAAAAAAGAAAAAAAAAAGTATTGTGTCCACCTACAACTAAAACAACAACAACAAAAAGTGCATACAACGAGTGATTTATTTCAAATGTGCCATGACACTAAGCTAAAATAGGTATCAATCTATAGATTCTTGATTAAGGCATGGAGGCATACAAGTTTTCAGAACATTTACCAAGGGAAAAAAGGGTAAAATAAAAATGAACAACAACAATGACAATGAAAATGATAAAAGAAAAAATTATAAAATGAAACATTCTGGGATTTAAACAATTGCTTCATTATTTGTCATTTTTACCTAACCTATTTATGTTGTTTCCTGACTACACCAGATAGATAAAGGCTTTCTCCATAAACACACTTTGAAAAGAAAAAAAACCTGTGGTGCTCTCCAAAGAGCTGGGGAGTCTACACTTTAAAATCACTGTTATGTGTTGACAAATACCCGAGTCATAGATTTGAGCCCTAAGGGAATCTTAATACCCAACACCCCACAGCCTGCCTGCCCCAGGAGACACGTACCTTGTGGCTCTGCGTTCAGGAGCTGCAGGTTGATATATTCACAGAGAAGAGTACTAGGGCTGTTGACAGGAGAGGGAACTGATCCCGCAGTCACATAAAGTGTTTTTCCACTAAGACTCATCAAGTCAGTTTGGTTTTGTATTTCTAAAAATATAAAAAACTCTGAAGTCATTCACCTTTTCCTACTTCACTATTAAATTATCATGTTGTCTTTTTACAGTGGTGCTTTCCATTGACATCCAAAGAGTAGAAAATCTATTTTTTTTTTTGTACTGGGAATTGAACTGAGGCAAGCATTCTACTACCGAGCTACATCCCCAGCCCCCAAAACAGTAGAAATACTTATATTGAAAAATAAATGGTATAATAATATAATTTAAAACAAAAAGCAATTTTTCCCTGTTATAATGTGGCTCCTCTTAATCTCCAACTTCACCATGAAAAGCTTACATTTGAAAAATGATAATTATAATCAGCAAAAAAGTTGTAATTTTTAAAAACTGTATCATAGCACGTAGATTTAGTAAGACTTAGGTACCATGCTTAATAAGTTACAACTCCCCAGGGGCGTCTCTGAATCCTGAAATCTGTCACATGGGAAGCTGGGTAGGATTGGACCTTGGCCTCCTGATAGGCCCAGGGTTTTCAGTGGAATCCCAATGAGGGGGCTCAGAGAGACATTGCAGCCTGGCACTGCTGAAGAGCTGCCAACTCCAAGTCAAGAAAAGCACCAGGGTTTGGTAGAGTCAAAGCACAGACATTCTCTTTCCACATACCTGTTTCACCATGGAAGATAGACAGCTCTGTATTTTTAACACCAAAAATGCTAGTAACAACATTCTTCAGCTTTAAAAGGTCCAACCTATTGTCCCCTTTTGGATTTTCCAGAAGCAAAACTCCACCTAAAAAATCCACAAAAATAAGATCTTTAAAAAAGTAAGACTTAAAAACAAATGTTTTACTTAGAGGAAAAGACAAGGTACACAAGGGGGTTTAAAGCCCTAATATTTTATTTTCTCTTTTTCTGAAGTATATACTATTTCTATCTACTTAGTACAAGTTTTGGCAATCCTCAAGTAGATATGACTAAGGATGAGACTTTATAGTTCTCATCTTTTTCTAGATTCAAATCTTTGTATTTATAACCCCCATTTTTCATTTGTTGCCATTTGTAAATGCACAAAGTACAGAGTGGTTAAAAATACGATCTGATCATTATCTTAAAAAAAACCCTTCAGTGGCCCTGATGTTGATGTATCCTAGACCTAGATTCAATTACAGATATTTACTTTATTGATTTATTTAAACATTTTCCTTTAAGGTAATTATAGTCACATGAAGTTATAGGAAATAATAGAGATACCACAGGTCCTAGTTCCCCCTCAAAGGTAACATCTTTACGAAATAATACAATATCACAACCAGGGTATCTACAATGATGTACTCAGCTAATCCTATTCATATTTCCTCAGTTTTACTTTTACTTATTGGGGTGTGTGTTTAGTTCTCTTCAGTTTTAATACTGGTGTAGATCCTGCATCCATCATCACCATTAAGATACAGAATAGTTCTGTCATCACAAGAATCCTGTTTCCTTCTGATAAGCACCCTAATGCCTCCACAACTCCTAGCAAATAACAGTCTTTATTCCTGTGGTATCATTTCAAGAGTGCAATCACACAGGGTGGAATTTTGGGGACTTTTTTCCAGCCAGCGTCATCTCTAAAGGATTAAAATAAGTGGCAGTGCTAATCAATGGTTGTTCCTTCTTATTGCTGAGCAGTGTTCTGTGGTATGAATGTATCACACTTTGCCATTTTACTTGCTGAAGAGCATCCTGGTTTTGGCTACTATGTGTTTTGTATATCCACAAACAGGTGACCTGGTGAACATGTTTTCAGTTCACTGGGATAAATACCTAGCAGCGCAACTGTTGACTCATCATGGAAAGCACAGGCTTGGTTTCTATAAGACACTGACAAACCCTTTCCCAGAGTGGCTGTGCCATTTTACATTTCCCCAGCATTGTATGAGATCTAGCTCCTCTGCATCCTCACCAGCATTTATTTTATTTGAGTCACTCTGATAGGTGTGCAGCAAACCTCACTGTGGTTTTAATTTGTATTTCCCTAATGGCTAACGATGTTAATATTTTCATCATTAGCATATTCTCTTACAAGAATGTTTATACTTTTTTTCTAATTGGATTGTATTTTTACTGTTGAGTGCTGATAGATCTCTACATTTTACATGTTTTTTGTTGGATACGTTGTTTATAAAAGCCTCCCAGTCTGCCGCTTGTTTTTCATTCATTTTATGTATCTTTTACAAGGAAAATCGTTTTAATGTTGTTAAAGTTCAATTGACCAATTTTCCCTTTTATGGACAGTGTTCTTGGTGTCCAGTCTTTAAAACTTTGTGCCTAAATGAAAAATCCTGTTTTTTTTTTTTTCCCACAAATGTAAGTGGAAACCTTGGGCCATATGAATTATTTATTCCATGCTTATATGCAGCCTTATGAAGAGAGGGAAAAAACCCCTAATATCTCACATGAAAGTATAAAATGCTTACCACATTTTTGAAACAGAATTCAGCTATATAAAAAAATAATTATGCACCACAACCAAGTAGGGTCTATCCCAGGAATGTAAGGCTTATTCAATATTCAAAATTCAATCAGTGTAACCCTAGCCAGAGCAATTAGATAGAAGAAAAAAATTAAAGACATACAAATAGGGAAAAAAGAACTCAAACTATCCCTATGTGGCAACAACGTAATTCCCTATTAAGAAGACCTAAAAAAACTCCACCAAAAAACTTCTAGAACTCATAAATGAATTCAGCAAAGTAGCAGGATATAAAATCAACACCCATAAATCAATTATGTTCTTATGTATCAGTAATGAATCAACTGAAAGAGAAATTAGGAAAACTACCCCATTCATGAGCTGAGGTTGTGGCTCACCACTGGTAGAGCACTTGCTTAGCATGTGTGAGACACTAGGTTTAATTCTCAGCAGCACATTAAGTAAATAAATAAAATATCATGTCCAACTACAACTAAATATATATACACATTATATGTATATGTATATAAAAACCCACCCCATTCATAATAGCCTCAAAAACAAAACAAAAATAAACAAACAAAAAACCAAAATGGGAATCAATCTAACAAAAGAGGTGAAAGACCCCCAAGACAAAACTACAGAACTCTAAAGAAAGAAATTGAAGACCTTAGAAGATGGGAAGATCTCCCATGTTACTAGGTAGGCAGAATTAATATAGTCAAAATGGCCATACTACCAAAAGTGATACAGAGATTTAATTTAATTCTTATTAAGGTTTTGATGACATTCTTCATAGAAATAGAAAAAGCAGTCATGAAATTCATTTTGAAAAATAAGAGGCTCAGAATAGCCAAAGCAATCCTCAGTGAGAAAAGTGAGGCATCACAATACCAAAACCTAAATTATACTACAGAGCTATAGTGACAAAAATGGCATGGTATTGGCACCAAAATAGACACACCCATATAAGTATAGTTATCTCATACTAGAAAAAGGTGCCAAAAACATACATTGGAGAAAAGATAGCCTCTTCAACAAATGGTGTTGGGAAAACTGGAAATCCATATGCAGTAAAATGAAATTAACCTCCTATCTCTCACCATGCACAAAACTCAGAGTAGATCAAGGACCTACTCATTAGATCAGAGACCCTATGCCAAATAGAAGAAAAAGTTGGCCCAAATCTATATCATGTCAGCTTAGGAACTAACTTCCAACAAGACTCCTACAGCACAAGAAATAAAATCAAGAATCAATAAATGGAATTTTTTTCTTTAAAAAAATTAAAAAAAAATTTTATTCTAATTAATTATACATAAAGTAGAATGCACTTTGATATATCATATCAAACTAAAAAGCTTCTTCACAGCAAAGGATGTGAAGAGAGAGCCTAAAGAATGGGATAAAATCTTTATCACCTACTGTGGGAGATCAACCTTGCACATGACTGAGTCATACTCCCCGGCTGGGTGCTGAGGTGCTCAGTCACAGCAATGTGGCAGAACTTTCCCCACCTTTCTTGGGTTCCAGGGACAGTGTCTCCTGCATGGGTGTGTCTTGCTATAGCCCCATGGGTGGAGCTACACTCATCTGTTCCTTTGTAATATAACCCCTTGCCCTGTTTAGGATAGCATCTTCCATGGAAGTGCTTTGTGTGTGTCCCCTTCTCTTACTGTGTCCTTGGGTGTGGCCTACCTAGATGTCAGTCAACCTGTTCACAGTGGACATCAGGAAGATAGACTCAGYCCCCTGAAACCTGACCCCTTGCCTCATTTGAATAGCTTCTCTTCAATAAAAGGGGTCAGCGTGTGCTCTCTCTCTCTCTTCCTGAGGACCCTTAAGGTCAGAGGAGGCCTCACAGCAATCCCACAGAAAAAGGTACTTGTGTCTCTTGTGTGGTTATTTTGAGCAGACCAGTTAGCCCAGTTTACCTGAAGTGATTCCTGAGCCTTTTAGTCGAGAGAACAGAAACAGAGCAACCTACACTTCAGATGACCCAGCTATCCCACTCCTAGGTTTATTGCCGAAGGACTTAAATCAGCATACTATAGTGACACTGCCACATCAATGTTTATAGCAGCTCAATTCGCAATAGCTAAGTTATGGAACCAACCAATAAATAGGGTGGGTTCAAACTAAAAAGATTCTTCTCAGCAAAAGAAACAATCAGTGGAATGAATAAGAGAGCCTACAGAATGGGAAAAAATTTTTACCACATGCACATCGGATAGAGCACTAATCTCTAAGATATATAAAGAACTCAAAAATCTTAACACCACCCCCGCCAAATAACCCAATCAATAAATGGGCCAAGAAACTGAACAGAAGATGATACACAATCAATCAACAAATATATGAAAAAATGTTCAACTTCTCTAGCAATTTGAGCAATGCAAATCAAAATTTCATCCCTCTCCAGTCAGAATGGCAGCTATTAAGAATACAAAGAGGGGCTGGGGCTCAGCCACAGAGTTCTTGCCTAGCACGGGCGAGGCACTGGGTTCAATCCTCAGCACCACCTAATAATAATAATAATAAGTAAATAAAACCAAATGCTGAATGTTTTCTCGGATATGGCGGTAGTAAAGACGGTAAAATGTGATGGACATCACTGCCCTAAGTACGTGTATGAAAACATGAATGGTGTGACTCGACTCTGGGTACAACCAGAGACATGAAAAATTGTGCTCTATTTGTGTAATATGAATTGAATTGCATTCTGCTGTCATATATAACAAATTAGAATAAATAAAATAAAATTTAAAAATTAAAAAAATATATATATTTAAAAAAATGAAATAAATAAAAAAAGAACTCCAGTAGCACAAGGCACAGTGGTGAATGCCTATAATCCCAGGAATTTGGGAGGCTAAGGCAGGAGGATTGCAAGTTCAAAGTCAGCCTCAGTAATTCAGGGAGGTCCTAAGCAACTTAGCAAGACCCTCCCTCAAAATAAAAAATAAAAGGGCTGGGGATGTGACTCSTGGCTCAGTGGTTAAATGTCCCTTGATTCAATCCCTGGTATCTCCCCTGTCCCCTCAAAAAACATACTCAATCAGCTATTCTTGTAGGAATGGTCTGCTGGCAACATATTTGTTTAGTTTTCTCTCATTTTCCCACCATCCTGTAGGTTTCCTGATATAGCGTTCTAGACAGGTAATACATATCTTTCAAGAGCWAAAAAATGTCTTTTACTTTCTGGCCTGTTTTCTGATCAGAAAAMAATGTAAGTAAGGTATTTTATCTCTCTCACTACTTTCAACACATTTTGTCAAATTTTCAGTAGTTGGATTATGATGTGTATTGATATGTACTCTTTGGGGTTTATCCTGTTTGTGTTTCACTCAGTGTGTTAGTCTGTTCAGACTCTATAACAAAATGCCACAGGCTAGGTAGCTTATAAAACTAGATAAATTCATTTTTCATATTTCTGAAGACTGAGCGGTCAAGATCAAGACACCCACAGATGTGGTGTCTAGTAAGGGACCATGTCCAAGTTCACGGATGGCACTTTTTTGCTGTGTCCTAACACACTAGAAGGGGTGACTAGCTCTCTGGGGTCCCTTTTATACATTTTGGCAAATTTAGGAGGTTTTCAGCTATTATTTCTGAGTACTCTTTTAGTCCTATCCTCTCTCTCTTCTGATTCCAGTAACAAGAATGTTAATCTTTTGATATTCATTTTTTTTCAACTCTGTTGTTCAGAAATGGATAATTTTTTTTCCCCATCTTCTAGTTGATTCTTTCCTTTCTCTTCTATTTTTGCTGAGTCTATCCATTGAGGTTTTTGGTTTTATTTATTTATTTTTTAATTTTTTTATTTTTTTTGGTTTTATTTTTAAAAGCTATATTTTTCCTCCTTTTTTTTTTTTTCTTTTTTAGTACTGGAGGTTGAACTCAGGATCTCGTGTCTGCATGGTATGTAAGTGCTCAACCACTAAGCCACATGCCCAGCCCATTAAAAATTTTTTTTGTTTTGTTTTGAGAAAGGGTTTTGCTAAGTTGCCCAGGCTGCCTTAAACTTTTAATCCTCCTGCTCAGCCTCCCAAGTAGCTGGGATTATAGACATGCACTACCACATGAAGGTTAGTTGTATTTTTCAGTTCTAAAATTTCTTCTTTATACCTTCTATTTCTTTGCTGAGGCCTTGTATTTTTCATTTGTTTCTATTATATTTGTTATTAATCCCTGAAACATTATTATGGTTGCTTTAAATTCTGAGACAATTTTAACATTTCAGTCATGTCAGTAAGTATTTGCATCTTTTCTCATTCAGTTTGAGATCTTCTTGGTTCTTGGYATGATCAGTGACTTTCCAATGAAACCTGGACATTTGAGTAAGATCTCTATTTTAGTTGACTTTGATGTCACACTGGCAGGTAAAAGGGACACTGCCTAGTTACTTCCAGGTGGGAGAAGGAATCCAGGTTCACTATCAGGCTCTACTTAAACCAAGCTTGTTTTTACTATGGGGTGGCAAGGAAGAGAGATCTCATTCTCCTCTAGAGCCCCAGTTAAATGGTGGTGCCCCTTTACTGCTCCTCCACACTTATCTAGCTTAGGTAAGGCCCTGGGTTCAATCCCCAGAACCTCAAACAAAATAAAAGAAAAATCCTACCCCTTTGTTTAGAGAAAGCAAGGTTGGTTGTGTGTGTGTGTTTTTTTTTTTCCCGGTCTGTACTTGTTGGCATTTCTAGGTTGCCAACTTCTTAAGCCCTACGTTTGATATATATGAGGCAAAAAAAGAAAATCCAGGGAACTCACCACTATAATGTTGCTTGGTTTCAACATTCCTAGCTGGTCTGCTTTCTTCCCTCTACCTTTGACAGTCTTATGTTTGCTTTGGTATATAATGGACTGGGTATTTTGATGTATTTAATGGGAGGAATTGGGAAAAACACGTCCACCTTCCTGTAAGTGCAAGTCCATCATTTACTTAAATGGATTCACTTTGATGTCAATTAAAAACAAAAAGTTATCTGATTTTACCAGTTCCCTTCTGATAGCCTAAAGATTCCCAAAGGTTTAAATAATGCCATACAAGCCATGGGATTAATTTCCTCCTACCTTGTTCACTGCCGTTTGCACAAATGTTAAGGTTGACATATGCACAAGCAGGACCAGACAGGGATGATCCTTTAGTCAGTGTGATCTCCAATTCAGACCCCTTTAACTGAGCAAATGAGAACATATGATTAACTGCAGCCTTTAGACTGCAGTATGTCACACCATCACTGAATTCTTAACAAGAACAATAAATCTTAAAAAAAAAAAGGATTCCCATTCTTTTATTCTGTTCTTTAAAAAATAAGTCAATTGTCATTTACTTCTAACAGTTATCACCAGCATCTATAATATCAACTTTTCTAGACAGATCCACATAGTCATTTCATTTCCTGGCAGATATCACACACCCTCCTGGCTACCTCCTCCAAGAGAACTTGTAGGAGAACAGTTCTGCTTCCCTCCCCTTCATTTCTTCTGGATTCCTCTCTGACCCTACTCACTACCATTCAGAGTAATACTTCTATTGGGGGCCAGAATATCCAGATGTAACTAAATAAACTTAAAGTAAAACCAAATCTGAAATCTTTCAGTAGTTCAACAGAATTCTGAACTCACCTGTGTTTTTTCCTGAATAAGGATTTTATCTGATGTAGGAACTGGGTATGGTTTCAAGGGAGCTTTTATGGTGGCAAATATGAATTCTGTGTGGCTTTCAATAACGTTATTCAAGTATCTTTCTTCAGACGTTGCATTATAATAGACTGTTATTTCATCAGTTGGAACCAGATTACACTGAAAGTATATACAGAAAAATTTTAAAAGAAAGCACATTTTGCTAATCAAAACTCAAGGTACTGTCAAACCAGTCCTGACAACACCGCATTGGATCACCAAGCAAGGGCTGCCTCCTCGGGAAGAGCTATACTGTAAGAACACGATTGGCTTTGTGGTCCTCTGCTTATTCTTTGGGAAGACTGGATGGGTGTCTTCCTAGTACAATCAGCCCCTTATGAATACTGAAACAAAGGAACAACTGAGAACTCACTCAAAAAGCTCTGAACTGGGAGAGTGTGCACAAACACTCCTGTGATCTGCTGGATGACTCCTCTGAGACCCACAGGTCCCAGACATCTGGCCTGGGGAGGAAGATATATAGAACTCCTAAATGTCGACACCTCCTTGAGGTAAGAGTTTTCCCATTCTCTCACTGGGTTTGGTGGCCCCTTTGCTCTGCAGGCAATGGGCTCTGTGCCTTCTTCAGTTCCCAAATGAGGAAAAACCATCCCACTCTGTCCAGGCCCCAAATCTCTCCCCTGCGCAAGAAGCCTTCCACACTGCCTGCAGGTCTGCCTTCCTCAGAGACACTGTCATCTCTAGTTACTTTCTGCACCAGCCAGAGAGCTATCGTCCCAGGTGATTTTGTGGAAGCATGGTAAGGGGCATAGGTTGGCTAAAAACTCTTGTTCAAAGAAATAAAAAGAACCATATCCAGCTTGAGAGTGTGTAAGCAGGTAGAAAAAGAGGCCTATTTTCCCTGTAGAGTACAATCTTAACAGACAACGGATTAATGAATCATTACCAATAATCCATCAGCTTAACTTACATTACATGCCTTGCTGGTCCTTGTTAACAACCAACATAAAACAAACACAGGCAGCTTCTCCTTGATCTGACAAACTGACCTTCTTTCGAAGTTTCTGGATGCGATTGATGACTTCCCGAGCCATTCCCTCATCCACCATTGATTGGTCAGGGGTGACATCCAAGAGCACCAAAGCCTGCAGAAGGAGCAGCGCACAATGTGACAATCAAGAAGAACCCATCTTTCAAACTCAGCAAAATGTTACTTAAAACTAATTCTTGGTTATAGTTGAGAGGTAGAGTGCTTGCCTATATGAATAAGGACCTGGGTTTGATCCCCAGCAACACCGAAAAAAATAAATGTAAAAACTGAATTCTCAGGAGTCTATGATGCAATACCATTTATTCATTTTACTGAGCAAAGGAAATAAAATTGATCTAGTACCTTCACCATTCAGGTACTTCTTTGTAAATAGCTATCCTTCACCACGGGAGAAAGATGTAGCATTTATTTCTTTGTAGGGTGCTGCTCACAGGAGATGACATGAGACCCTCTTTTACAAGTCCCTCATGAAACTCTGTATTTGGGTCATCTAATAACAAGTATCAAGTCTACTAATAATTAAGATAAACAAACATGACATCCCCCAGAAAAATAAACTTTGTATACCACAAATGAGTGGACTGAGGCCTCAAAGCAGCCAACTCCAGGCAATTTTCTTGATCTGTGACCACTGATGATCCTTTAGTTTGTCAGTATGATTCAAAACGTGAATTCTAGAATGGACTTCAATACTTTTTATATGACTTGATTTAAGCTGCCATCTTATTCCTAACCTTAGTTCCTATCACATCTGTTCTGAAGGTTTTGGTTATATGCAGTAATAATGACACTACTACTTTGATTACATAACACGTTATAGGGTAAAATATACTCTACAAAAGTCCTTGTAAATTGGGAATCATCCATTTCCCTTGGAGTAAACTCAATCAGAGAAATTCACAAACCGCCTTAATACACAAAAAGATCAGAGATACAGGTGGAAGTGGATATAGCCTACTACAATATGTGTGCCACATCAAGAAATTAAGAGGCATCACAGAAGACACTTCTTTAAGTAGGAAAAACTTTCCAGGACTCTGTTCAATCTTAACAAAAGGACTGACCCTGAATTCGAAACAGCCTGTACATTCTCTTCATGGAGAGGTTCCTGAAGACCTCCAACCTGACCACTATAGGGCCTCTCCAAACTTATTTCCACCTGAGAACTTCTCCAGGCAGATATCAAGACTTGGCTTGAGAGCACTGTTAAACAAAATAAACCATTCTCAGAAAGCCAAGGGTCATATATTTTCTCTCATATTGGAAACTAGAGAYGATTAAAAAAAAAAAAAAAAAAAGGAAAGAAAGAAAAAGCCCGAGGGGTGGCGGTGGGGAGGGAGCTCAAGAAAACTGAAGTGAGGGATGGGGATGTGGCTCAAGAGGTAGCACGCTCGCCTGGCATGCGTGCGGCCCAGGTTTGATCCTCAGCACCACATATAAACAAAGATGTTGTGTCTGCCGAAAAACTAAAAAATAAATATTTTTAAAATTCTCTCTCTCTCAAAAAACAAAAACAAAAACAAACTGAAGGGAGACCAGTAGAATAGAGGGAGGGAGTGAGGAGGGGAAGGGAGGGACGGGGAATGAAAATGACCAAATTATGTTATATGTATGTACAAATGCCACAATGAATCCTACTCTTATGTGTATCACTATAATCTGTTTTAAAAACAAAAGATTTGGCTTCCTTTCTTGTGTCATGACTGACTTGTTTCTCACGGAGTTTATTTTTCTGCAATCCAACATTTAAAAGAATTTCTCACAAGTAATAACTATAAAACACTGATTCATACATTCATTAAACAAACATATGTCAAGGGTCTACCATAGAGAAATTTAATAGAGCCAATCTAAAGTAAATAACTGGTTTATTTTACCTTGAGATAAACTATCAACATAGTCAGGAAAGGAATAAATTTCTCATGTTCTTATCTCTTTGTAAAGAACCTTGTAGGAAACAGAAAAATACCTGAGCATCTGAGTGAGCTTCAAACTGTGCAGTCCCACCTGTGGCCTGGTCAAAGGTGTACATGAGACGGATGTCCTCTTCATGCAATTCATGGCCTTCCACGACAATGCTCCCTGAGGGAGAAGATGACTCCATCAGTTCCTCCTCTTTAAGCTGCCTGGTTACTAGTGCACTGTGCCCATTTTGATGAAAATTTCACAGCAACAGGGCTGCGGACGTGAGAAGATGTTACTACCCCAGATTCCTACCATTGCTGCAGCCATGAATGTAACATCTGTAGAATACTCTATGTTGCCCTGAGGACAGTACCAATGTCCATTTGAATAAGCTTCCAGGTCAAAAGCTAAAGGGGTGCACCATGAGACAACAAGTTCCCATCTAAACAAGGAGCAGATGGTGAAATGAGTCTTTAGAGTCCACTCACAAGTGGCTAGAAGGGTGTGGTGTGGGTGAAATGAGATSTGTGTGAAGAACTTGTAGCAGGTCTGTCCAGGGCCAGCAGAAAGTGTGGGCAGATGCTGATGGTGGTCCCACCTTCAAGGAAGCCCCCTGAGCTCTCTTTTGTCATGTTCCTGGGCTTCAAGCTCTAGGCTGCCAGTTCTACTTTAGGTCCCTGCGTTCTGAAAACTCTTCTGTTTTCCATCAGGACAGAACACTTCATCCAGAAACTACAGTTTAGAAATGATAGGCTTTCAGTTTCAAGTAAGGTTTACGTTAGGAATTTCTGATGTGTTGGTTACTTGGTCAAATGACTTAGACTGGGGACTTAGAAGGCTGATGAAACGGCATCTTCCAATTAAATATTCTGAGCTGAATTAGGAATGAGTGACTCAAGTTTTAGCTGCTAACCTTTTATGTTTTATTAATTATAAAAATTTGAGGAATCTTAAGAGACATGTCCCAGAATTTCCATACCTACTCATCTTATGAGTCCTTAAATCTCTACTCCAAATACATTTAGGCTTATGATTTTCAATTTTAGGTAGACCTAATAACAAATAACTTGTGTCCCAGGGTAGCTGAAGGATGTCAAACAGCCATATTCAGACTGAGTATGATTATCATGGCAAGGTTTCAAATTCCTGGGCACCTTGAGACACTATTTAGTGGAGTGGGGAGAATGAGCTGAGCTTCCTTCCCTAGCCCCATAAGTTGACTGGGCCTACTGGCTACATATTCTCACATTACCCCATATTCTTCCTTCATAGCACTTTATATTCAGCTCTACACTGGGCTTTAAAATATATTTGTTGAATGAACAAATCCAACTTTGACAAATAAGAGATCAAGATGTAGATATCTTTGCAGAAGCGTGGGTAGAACAGTGGTGAGCTCTATCCATTTCTCCTTAACAAGAAGCTCCAAACCTCACTGCTAATTCCCTTTCCTCTGAAACCATTGCAATCTCTTCTTTTGATTCTTTTCAAGTCTTCGTTCTGACACGTCCAAAAATTGTCCTTTTTCTCTCCACAAGCAACTTCCAGATGCTCCTGGGGAACACCATTCCCCAGTCATGAAGCCCCAGTAAGCTGTTTTCTCTCACAAGGAAGGATGGTTTTCGAGGCCACAGAGGGATTTGTTGAGCTCCCTGGTAACCTAATCCATTTGATCCAGTAACTTCAATCTAGTTATCTCACCTAAAGACATCAATTCTATAAAATAAATACATGCAAAAGTATTCACTGCAACAATATTCATACTATGAATATATGAATAGACTAAAATGTGACGGTGAGTGGCCTAAAGCACCAAAACCAAAGAATGGTAACATGAAGTATGCACATGAAGGAAAATTATACAGCTACTAAAATAGCRTTTCCATATACAAATACATAATGTTGATAATATAAATTGAAAATACAAAGTTAAGAATGTAGGAAAGAACTGCCAAAGTACATCAAGTACTAAAATACATAAAAGTGAAAGATGAGAAATTTAAAAGTTTAGTGCGATCTCCATTAAGGCTGTGATTCTATGTAACTGGTGGAAAGAAGCCAGAATTTTAGCAGTGCACAAGCATTTATGAGGCTACATATTAAAATACAGCGAGTAGTTACCTGTCTATTAGTTACAGGGATGAGTGGTGGGCTAGGGGTCATTTTTATTGTCTTTCCAAATCTTTGGAATTATTTATGTAATTATAAAATGATTTACATAATTTATAATAATTTTTCTTATGAACTTGAAAAAGTTTTCATTTAAGAAAGGAAGAGAAGGTCAAACTCCAACAGAAGCCTGAATGTGAAATATGCCCTGGCCTGAAGATATGAAGGAAATGCAGCCCCACCTGAGAGGACACCCACCACTCTTCTGGAACTGCTCCAGCTCCTCACTGTTCAGCTGCTTGATGGCCATCATCACGGCTTTAAAGGCTCCCTTCAGACGCTTCCCCAGGACCATGTGATCTGGTTCTGCCCTTAGCCGAACGCCATACTTGTTTTTATCTGTAGACAGTGTAACTTTTCGAACATTCAGTTCCTATATTTAGTACCCAGAAAAAAAAAAATATGAGAAATGAAAACAAATTCACATGAAATAGGATATGTAAACAAAAGTCCATAGCAAGATTATTCTATGGAAACTGTAAAATTTCATAAATCTTTATATTTGTTATGAATTACAAAAACAAAAACAAAAACATGGAAGAATATTCATCAAAATTATCTTCTCAAAAAAACAAAAAACTATTTGGATCCCAAATAGATGACTCATCTATCTTACCTCAAGGATATACTTCTCCAAAGACTTGATATCATTAAGAGCTTCTGGATCCTGATGAATAACCACAATTTCTTTCAAAGGATACTAAGAGGAAACAGGAGAAAAATGTTTGTTAAGTCCTCTAAATGGAAGAAACTGGAATGTTAAATGTTTATCTGAATTGTAAGCTCCAGACCAGTTAGGTTGAACTACGTCCATTCACACCCTAAAAGCAGAAAAGGGGGGAAAATTCTGCCACTGCTAAATGCTGTCTATATTAAGAACCCAGTGCGTGAAGCACTGGGCACCACCTAAAAACAAAATAAAGATATTGTRTCCACCTAGAACTAAAAAATAAATATTAAAAAAAAAAAGAAAGCAATTCCCACATAAAATGTAAACAAACAAACAAAAAAAATCAAACCTTTATTGGAATAGTTTTGCGGTCTCGGATCACTCGTCCAAGTTCAATCACAGACTGCATTCTAGACACTGCACTCTCAGTTTTCTTGTCAATTAATTCCTCACTGTTTGACAGAAGGAGAAAAAAGAAAGAAATTAAAAAGGACAAATCCAAAATAGGCATACTTAAGTGAGGAAGAGGGTCAGGCTAGAGAAGGGATAGTCTCTTTTGGCAAGGCACCTGGAACTGCATTAGGGGGCACACAATGAGCTCCCCAGGTGTCCTTAGGAGTGTATCCACATACCACCTGCCACAGTTCTACAGAGGGGTTCTACATACAGCATCCCTCTCCTACTGCTTATGGAAATAGGCCCCATTCTGCAGCTTGAGGAGCAACTTACATTAGCTTGGGTGGGAAGCTAGCACAGAGGGGCTGGGATAGGGAACTGCCTACTCTTTTCCATTCCTTCCCTGGGAGCTTGGGCTGCCACATGCTTTGGCCACTCCCCTTCCTATGGCCTAGGAAAGGTTTATCTGCATTTGGTTCCTACCGAACACGGGGCAACATGAGGTAGTGAATGCTGAGGGTGTCCTTGTCCTGGACAGAAGCTGGGTCAATCAGCACCTTTAGATTCTGGTACATCAATTCAGTGAGAAATGGTGTGTATGGGGCCTGTATGAGGACACAGAACATCATGTCATTCATATACATAACAACAGCTGATCTCACAGTGAGAAACAGTAATTAAACATTTTACAGAATGACAAGGTACTATGCAGACTTGGGCATAGTTTCACACTCTGTGAAACAGAAAGGACCTTGTATCTCTGAAGCCCAGCAGTAGGGCTACAGTCAGCAGAACTTAAAATATCCCTAAATTTCTGCAATATGTCAAACAAACAAACAAACAAAAATCAAATCACGAGCCTGTGACCAAGAATCGGTCAAGTCAATATGCACAGAGGACTGAAACCTCATCCATAATTGGGGAAACACCACATGCTGTGCAGTATCCTGGTGAATAAAGTCAGACATGGAAAGCACTAGGCATGCAGGACTTTGCACAAAGTAGATCCTCCTACAGTGAATGTTACAGAATGAATGGGGAGATTGTAAAATTATACTGGAGTAGGAGAACGGGATATAGGCAATTGAAACCAAAGGCTTCTTACTATATAATATTCAATTAAATATTTGAACTGGAAGGAACACACATTCCAGTTACCTGCACATTTTTCTCTCAATGGTAAGTTAAAAATGTTGTTTGTGTTGTATTTGTTCAGGTAGATGAATTCAGGAACCTCCTGGTTATAATTAAGGCAATCCATATTAAGACATGATCTTCAACTATAGATCTTGGTCTAGATGCAAGATTTCTGACCTGTACTGCACTGCCAATGACTATAAGAATCTAGTATTTCTTAGCACTTATTTAAAATATATGAATAAGGAACTAGAGATAAGCTCTTTCAAGACTTTTATACCAAACATATACAAGCTAAAGAAGGGCACCACATGCAACCTACAGGCCAGTTTTAGGAACTGGCCAAATATCTCACCATTAGTCTGCACAGAGAAAGCAGGACACTAAACAAGGTCTCCAGGGCCATGACACAATCCTCCATCCCATTTTCACCCTAGTGAATAAAAAAGGAACATTAAACTGCTTAAAAAAAAAAAAAAGGTTATCAATAAACCATTTATTAAAAGAGGCAACCTGAAGACAGCAAAGAGCAAATAGCAGAGAGGACACGAGGTAGAACAAGGAGAAATGGTGACAACCACTGGCCACAGAGGGTCATCCATCATGGTGGTCTAATTCATTGTAGGAAAAAATTAAGATAATAATAAAAGAGCCGGGTAGGACGGCAGTAGGAGGCTGAAGCAGGAGGATCACAAGTTTGAGGCAGGCCACAGCAACTTAGTGAGACCCTGTCTCCAAATAAAAAATTAAAAGGGCTGTGGATATAGCTCAGTGGTAAAGCTCCTAAGCTCCTCTGGGTTCAATCCCCATAGGAAAAGAAAAAAGATGAAAGAAAATCCAACTATATTTTAGTTTCTYAGACTTAACTACTATAAACACTTTAGTATATATCCTTATAGATATGTGTAAATACATATAATTATAAACCCATATGAATTTTTCTTAATATATTTTAGCCAGAATGAAATTAGTTATGTTGTAGGCCTTTACTATGAATATATTTTAAAATAGGACTGATGGGTGGGARGAACATTCACCTGGCCTGCAGTGAGGACACTATCACTTCCAACATTGTCCCACCGTGACTTTTGCAAATGGTCTGCATCCTGAGACTAGTGCTTACGCTATACTCATTCTAAACCCCAACAACTATGAGTTTTATCCACAACAAACACTTGATAAATAACCGTCCTTCTGGGTTATAACAAGGAGGTGCCCCTCCTAAGTCCACAGTTATATCTGACGGTACTTGCAGAACTCTAAGGTCTGCACGGTTCCATCCTGCATGGCCTGGCCACTTTCTTCTCAATATGACATGTCCACATCTATATTGTGAAAACATGTACAATGACTTTTAGAACTTATAGGTCCCTGTTACCAAATGGCAATCAATACAATTAGTATGCAAGGTAAAAGGAAAAGAAAGTTTCAAAAACAGAGGCTTTTGGACAATGTTCATTTTCCTTTTGACTGTTCTCATTTTTCCAACGCTTAAACTTTCACACACTTTTTGCTTTTCCCACCAGCACCTACCTTTAATCTTCTGCGGTTCATTCTGACATACCAATTGGTTAGAACATCTACAAACTTGACCAGGCGAGGCACCACAGTGTAAAGCCTATAAGCTAAAAGTAAGAGAATCAGCCAGGTGGCCTTTACCAGCCTCATGAGATGAGGCCTGTACACAATAAAGCACAAGCAGCCCTCTACCTAGGGACTCCATTCACTATAGAGACAGTAAGAATCAGACCAAAGCAACCACAAGTGGCTCATTTATTGAGAATAAATAAGAGTCAAAGTGTTCAGGAATGCACCCTGAGCCACATGCAAACCCACACTGGTCAGTAGGAAACACTGAACTCCAGTCTGTGTGTGTGGCACGGTCTGAGGCACACACAATTCTGGGAAGCATGGTGTGCATGGAGTTGGACAATGTAACAGCACCAACGCAGTCCAGCTTCTTTCCAGTGTACAACTTCACACCTCAATTAAAAACCCGATAAGCAGAAAGCTCTAAAGGTCTATGCCTCTTACCTCCAGAGGACATTTCACAATGCCTAGAAGACACTTTGGTTGTCTTAATTTGTGGGGTAGGGGTACTACTGGCATCTAGAGGGGGGATCTAGAGATGCTGCCAAAATGATATAGAGGACAGCATAGCCCACACCAAAACAAATAATCTAGCCCATACTATTGACAGTGCCACTGTTGAGAAATTCTGACAAAGGTTATGATAAAAACAGAACAGGCTTTCTAGAGATTCAGATAGTTCAGGAAAGAAAGCCAAAGGTGTAGTGGAAAAAGAGACCTCTTGGGCACAGAGGAGGCAGGCCAGCAAAGTTGGGATCTCAACTGAACAGTCTGGGTCATGAGTTGGTCTCTATGTGGATACCTGGATTCCTGCACAAGACCTCTAGTTGCTAGGCAGAGTGAGCTCTGGCCAGGTTATAAGCTTTCCAGACCAACTTCATGGGAAGTCATGGCAGCTGGTGCTAAAAGGTGGCGCAGGCCTCACTCACAATCCCCACATTGTCCACCCACTTGTTGACAGCTGTGTGGGAGCAAGCTCTCAGCACTGCCCTTTCCTGGCAGGAATCAGACTCTCACTCATTTTCAACTCCATTCATGTCAATTTGCCCAGCAGCTACACAGTCCTTTTGAGCCAAATTTAACAGTACTGACTAAACCAGGGAAAGCCCAGTGCAGATGACCAGGCTAATGCTGACCCTGGTCTACTCTGTCCAGCTGTACCTGCCCAACAGGGTGCAGAGAAGGCAGGTCAACCTCTCTGGTCTCTCTTGCCTCCACTGTGACCTGGGGCATCTGCCTGCCCACTTTCCAGACTGAGATGCACCAGTCAATAGTTTCTAGAATTTTTCACTGGATCTATGATTTTACCATTCTCAAACCCTAAGGAAGTCAATATAACCCACTTTCCCCACCTCTCTCTAAAACTAAACTCACTGGTGTTTATTTAGAAAAACAGACCTAAAATTTTTTTTAAAATGCATTATAATAAGTATTACTTATCGAATACCTATTTCTGCCAGTCAACTTATGTGAATCATCTCTATTTAAACCTTATTATAATTCTACCAGGCATTTTGCAGATAAGAAAATCTAGGCCGAGAGACTTGAGGCAAGCCCCTGGAGAGGTAGCAAGTGGCAGAGCTGGGGTCTGAACTCATAGCTATCCAGCTCCAAAGCCTATTACACTGTGGAGGAGTGAGGCCACCTGGACACCCCTCAGACAGAATTCCTAAGGGCTTGGAAACAAATACCTTTCTACAATCAACAAGCTGTAACAAAATTATATTTGGGGATTAGAAGAAATACTTATTTGCTGTCTGTTCATTCTGTTATCTCTCAAAATTTCCTCTATTTTTTTCAAAGAAAAGCGATTAAATAATGAAATGACACACATAAACAGTCCTTAATCATAAGAGGACAGACCAGGAGAGACTCACCTGCCATTTCGGTCTCAAAGAAGCCCACAAGCGACTGCATGAAGGACAGAATCCACCGGTCTGTGATATTGGGGCTTTCTCTAACAGTGCTCTCATTGTAGAGGAATTCCATTTCTTCTTCCTGAGGACAATTAATGAGACATTCACATAACAGAAGGGAAGTAACTTACTACAGAAAAATAAACTCAAAAATCACTAAAACAGAAAGAGCAACAAAAAAAACAAAACAACTCAAATTATTAACAGGCAATCTAATTTTCTGACATTCAGCAATATTATCCAGATACACACTAACTTGGGACATAAAGTTTTCAATTCCTTCTTACTATTAGTTTTTGGTACTGGGTACTGACCTTAGGGGTGACTGATCACTGAGAAACAACCTCATCCCTTTTAATATTTTAAGACAGGGCCTTAATAAATTGCTGGGATTATGGGTGTGTGTGATGGTGCCTGGCAATAATTGTTTTCTGAGCGAAGTTAAGAGAATTTAGGGAAAAAACTACTGCTCTGCACTGAAGAGTGATTCTGAATTGAGACATATTTGCAAATCTTATATATGGTTTAAATACTTTAAAATCCAAGGAAGGATCTGGGTGGGGTGGTGCATGCCTGTAATCTCAGCACATTGGGAGGCTGAGGCAGGAGGATAGCAAGTTCAAAGCCAGCCTCAGCAACTTAGTGAGATCCTAAGAAACTCAGTGAGACCTTATCTCTAAAAAAAATATAAAAAGGGCTGGGTATGTACCTCAGTGCTTAAGTGAACTTGAGTTGAAGTCTCAGTACCATAAATAAATATCTATCAATCAATCAATGGAAGGAAAGAAGGACAATAAAACTTTCTGGGACAGAATACAGGATTGTCTACAAACTGAAACCTAGTACTGGGAACTATTTGCATTCTTAAGCTGATGACCTTACCCAGAATACTCTATTTCTCTCTGCTTTTTGCATTGTCCAAATCTTCCTTGATTCTAAAAGCCCATTTCACCTGTCCCTGCTCCACAAACTGAATTCCCTGCCCACTTTGGTTCAGGCAGCAGCAGCACCAGGGTAACAAGAGCAGAGATAATGTGACCTCACTAAACATGATGTCCCTGGCACTGAGAATCTGCTGATAAAACAAACATACCCTACCCTTCTACAGGTGAGGCCCATGACGCACAGAAGACCCTGGACAACTATTGCACCTTCATGCATGGCCTCCTCATGGCTCTTTGCTGTCTCCAACATCAGAGAGTACAACAAAGTGGCCACACACATGTGGCTTAGCACACGTGCGGCCTACTATGGCCTGTACCTTCTGGAGCCTCAAGATGTTCTGGATGAAGAAGCGGTACGCGTTGTACCACGGGAGCAGCACATCCTTAAGGACGTCCCGCACGCCCTCCTCCTTAAAGCGGAGGTTTTCTGCTCTCACCACAGGGGAATTAATCAGATATAATCTGGAAAAGGCAGAAAATTCACATGGTAAAGTTACATATGATCAATTTAAAAGTCAAAAAGCCTTTTGTTTTGTTATAAAGGGGTTACCCGTTTGTGACCCCACACCAAAATATGGCACTGCATTCAGAATAAGAGGAAGGTTGCCTGATCCTCATCAAGAGCCACTTCTTGTCTCCCATGGACACTGCCCACACCTCCAATGCATGTGGACACAGGAGTTCAGAGAGAGTAGTAGCCTTTACAAAGAGCAGAGTGTGGCATTTGGGTGGCAGAAATTAGGAATATCAATCACCCTACAGGATAGCCCACACTATAGTTACTTAGCCTAAATAGTGGATGCACCAAGGGCAAGTATGACAGATAAATGAGTTGAAGGATAGCCCTCCTCACTGCTCCAGGGCTTGGGGCTTCTCTATGACATGGGGCTGCTGAATGAGACCTTCAGGTCCTTTTAACTTGAATACCATGTGATTTCATGATTATGAACATTTCAAACAGTGGCTCAAATTTCTCTAAAACTTCTTTAATATTGATTTATTTGCTCTTACTCATATGGTGTGAAATTAAAATAAATGGTAACAACAAMAAAAAAATCCGAATACAACAAGACACGGAAACTAGAAAGAATTTGAGTCATAGGCAACCTGCAACTAGTCTCGGGGAGGCCCTGGATAGCTCATAAAATCCAAAGCAGGTTCTTTTCCTCAAAAAAAAAAAACTCTAGGTTTGAAAATGATTTTATTATATAGAAAACTGTTTTTAGGCCTTAAAATCAACAACCACACTAATGTAACTTTCCATGTAACAAATCCATGTTAAAAAGCATAATTACAAACTAAAAATTTAAGAACTGTAATTAATAGGATGAGAGATGCCAACATAAAAATGACACACACACTCAAGATAAAACACTGCTTTGTACCTGAGAGCATCAGCACCATACTTCTCGATAATTGAAACAGGATCAGGATAATTCTTTTTTCTTTTGCTCATTTTCTGGCCATCACTTGTAAAGCAAAAAGTAGATGACAATTAAACAAGTAAACAACACAGCTGAATTTTACACATGTATATAGATTATCTGCAACTAGGAATACACAAATGCAAATGGAAGGCGTAAATAATTTAGATGCAAGCCAGCATTAAGACATACCTACAGTTGTAAACAATTTCTGAATACCATGGGGAGCCATCAGGCTGACTAGAGAAGGAAGACATCTTTGCATTTATCCCAGAGAAATAAAGTTACATAAAAATACTACAAGAATGTTCACAACAGCTTTATTCACACCAGCAAACAGTGAAACATCCAGATGTCTTTCAAGGGGTGGAAGGTWAAATAAATTATGGTACACCCATACTATGGAACACTATTCATCAATGGAAATGAATGAACTTTTGATATATACCTCTATCAGAATCATATACTATCTAGACTAGTGGTTGCCAGGGATTGGGAATGAGGGTGGAAGGTTGGGGAGTGAGTGTAATTATAAAGGGCAATAGGAGAAAACCTTGTGGTGTTGAAATCATTCATTATTATGACTGTGTTTGTGGACAGAGAAACCTACACATGTGAGAAAGTTGTAGTCTAGTAAATACACATAAGCAAATGAGTATATCTAAAAAAGGAGAAATGTGAATAATATCAGTGGACTACATATGTCAGCCTCCTGGTTGTGATATTTATTATTAGACTATGATTTCCAAATGTAACCACTGGAGGGAAACTATGCAAAGTATGCAAGAGAGCATACTTTTTGACATCTTTATGCATGCAAACTTATAATAATGTCAATAACATTTTCAGTGAAGGAGGAAAGAAAAGCAGATCTGAGGCTGCAGCTCAAAAGAACATATGCTTAATACGTGAAGCCCCAAGTTCAGAATTCAAGACATGAATTTAGCACTCATTTGCTAAGCCCTTCAGCAAGTTACTTTTCTGTGCTGTAAATTTCTTCATCATTGAAAGGAGATAATTATAAGAGCCATGTGAAATAGTTCTGAAAATTGACAGCATGAGGACATGTTGATGTACACAGGGTAAGGACACCGACTAGATGTTAGATCTTCCTCCTCACAGCCATACCTCTATATTATTTTATTTATTTTCATTCTCAACGAGTAGAGGTAATGGAAGCAAAGGAAAAGTAAGAGTGTCCTATAATAGTCAAAAATTGGAAATAATACTCAATGGGAGGCAGAGTGGAGCCTGGTGTGGCTCTCACTAGCTTGGGTCTTAGAACTTGTGGGTTCTAGAGCCCCAGAGAGCTTCCTTGTAAGTTAAACAGAGGTTAACAAAACCCCACATTTTAGGACTGAACTAGTCACTACATAGAAGAGTGCACCTGCCTTGCCAGGACAAGACCGTTCACAATCACATTCTTGAAAGGTGGTTGTCCAAAGAGGGCTGTGGCCAGCACCAGTAGGGTGTAAAACCTGAAGAAAAAAACCAGCAAAACCCCAACAATTCGGTAAGAACAGAGAAGGAATCCAAGCACAGGAAAAAATACATTTACTCACTGGACTGCATTTCTATTTTTGATACAGTATACTTCTTGATAATCATACAAACCAAAGGTTCTTAATTCTAGTTACACATCATAACCATGAAGGAAGGGTTGAAAAATAAACAGATGCATGGAACCCACCAGAGATCAAATTAGAGCCTCTGGCTTGCAAAGAAATAAAAGCCTCCATCAATGTCCTGGTCCTCCCTCTGCTACCCCAACTCCCCAAAAGGGAGCCAGTATAACCAGCTATAAAGGTAGCACAGGGTTCCCTCAGCACCACCTGAAACACCTGGTGAAACAAGAAAAAAATCATACAGGACAAATATTGTGATGACAAAGGAAAAAAAAGCACTCATACAAATGGTCAAAAGGCAGGATTCAGAATCTAGCAAATGCTTCTATTTTGTCAGATGTTATGCATCCCATTAATGCATAGCTCCCTAGCCTGGTCCTGCCACTGCCCTGGGTGATGCTTACATGCCACCCTGACATGTTCCTACTATCCCAGGGGTAATGCTCTCCTATCACCTGACCTAACCCTGTACTCTAGGAACATCAGGGAACATAACTAATGAGAAGAGCAGACCCCCATTCTAGTATAAATACCAACCCAGACAGCCCTTTCAGTTCCCCAAAAAAGGCTAAGAGGACTGCTGGTACCCAGGAGGCAGCCATGATCTGTGGAAAGGGACAGTGGGCACATGGGGTCCACACAAAGACTTAAACAGCAGCTAGACTTCACTATTTTTGAGAGAAACAAGCTCAATGGGAAGTCATCTGGCCCTCCCCACAATAGGAATTTGTTTCTGATAGCTGTTCCTATAGATAAATTGATTAGAATATTAAAATGACACATTGAATACACTAAGGTTTGAATTCAATGATTATCACAAACTGAAAGAGCAGAAAATGACAAAAATTCCTTAAATACATTCCTGTAGAAACATTATTAATGAAACTATAATTAGCACATGGGCCAGCAAATCCTATCCAAAAAAGAAGGCAACTCACTTTTTTCCAATTAAGGGGATGAGCGAATTGCTTAATAGGGCACAAGACAAAACCCAATTCCCAAATCCTCCTCCCTTGTGTATTTTAAAATTTGGATTTTCTTTAAAATGTTAATTGATGAGGCTAGAATTTTTACCCATGCACATGACTACCTCCCCACTATTGAGCACCCAACCTATAATCTTGTAAATACTCATTAAGCATTTGAGTAATACGAAAAAGTTAAGAACACATATTGTTTTGTATGACTTAAACTTCCAACTTAACATATAGATAAATGCAAAAATGTTAGTGAAATAATTCAAATTATAATACCATAGTTCTATTTCAGTGAAAGAATATCCTAGTTGAAAAGCATTTTAGTATTCATAGTGGGTAGAAAGGACATAAATCAGGAACACAGGCTGTCTTGTTTGCCATGGCCCTAGTCAGCACCCAAGGACACATGGTAGGTACTCAATAAAATCAAGAAAACATTTAAAGCAAGAAAGGGCATACCATCCTCTGGTTTGGTCTATGCCTTCGGCAATGAAGTTTGCAGGAAAAGCATCTTCAAACTCCCTTTTGTTTTCAAAAGGATAATGAACCTGAGCATACGGCATGCTGCCACTTTCGAACCAGCAGTCAAATACTTCAGACACGCGCCTCAGTGATCCTTTCCCACAGCGTGATGGAATGGTCAGGTGGTCAATGCTAGTACACAGAAAAGCAGTACTTCTCATTTTRTGCACAACAGAACTTGCCGTTTAACTGCCAGTAATAAACACAGAGCCCCAATACGATATTATTCACAGGTTGTACAACAAGGCATATACGTGGTCCCATGCAACTGTAAGGGAGCTGAAGAATTCCTCTTACTCAGTAATGGTCCCGACGCTGAGTAAATGGATTATTCATGTGTTTGTGGTGATAGTGGTGCGAACAAACCAGTGTGCTATAAGATGTATAAAAGTAATAAAAGTATAGCACATATAATTAAGTACAGCCCATAACATGGTAACAAATGATGTAACTGGTTTATGCATTTACTTATTTTGTGTGTGTGGTAATGGGGATTGAGTTCAGGAGCACTCTGCCACTGAGCTGCACCTCCAGCCAGTTTTCGTTTTGAGACAGGGTCTTGCTAAATTGCCCAGACTGGCCTTGAATTTCTGATCTTCTTGCCTCAGCCTCTCAAGTCACTAGGATTTCAGGTGGGCCACCACCTTGCTTGTTAGAGTGTACTTCTCATTGTTAGAGTGTACTTCTACTCATGAAAAAAAAAGTTAATGAAGCCTGTAATCCCAGCTACTTGGGAGGCTGTGGCAGAATGACCAAAATTTAAAATTTCAAAGTCAGTCTGGACAACTTAGTGAGACCCTGTCACAAAAATGAAACTTGAAAAAAGAGCTGGTGATATACCTCAGTGGTAGGGGTAGTTACCTAGCACATGTGAAGCCCTGGGCTTAATTCCCAGTATGGCAGGAAAAAAAACAAAACRAAACTGTCAAAACAGTATGACTATTATACTAACAGTACCCACCTACATCTTGTGTTTACCACGTTTCTTGGTTGCATCAAGAGGCCATGTCAAGCGAGTCATCTATGCCATCTGGGTTTGTGCAAGAACACTCCAAAATGGGTGTTCATACAAAAAAAGAATCGTCTAAGGATGCATTTCTTAGAACATATCCCATAGTTAAGTGAAGCATAAATGAAAATGCATTTGTAAACAGAAATGTCAGCCATTCTCAAAGGCTTTTGAGAGTACCACACATTATTGTCACCTGGTGTTTCAACCGGGGAGGGAGGACATATTACCTTAATCCTATGCAAGTCATCAATAGTGATTCACAAACTAGCGCTTGCCATGTGCAGCTATGTAATTTGCTAGGTATCATGTCTCAGTAGGAGGTGACAGGACTGAAGTGAATTAATCATTGAGAAACTGACCTCTCTCTGTGGAGGTCCGAGATTTTTGCTCCTGACAGTTCTTCAAGTTCTGCCACTGACCCAATGCAAACTACCTGTTAAAAATAAAGTTAAAAGAAAGAGCTCCTTAGAGCCAGAGAGATCAAATTGAATTAATTTACGTGATATTCCTGTTTGAGAAACCTCTGATTTTTCCTGAAAAGCTCATTAAAATACCAATCTGGGCTGAAGGACAGCTATCTTCAACATGGCTGACTGTTCAACAACACCACACACTGGTTTCTGACAAGGCAAGCACTAACTTGTCCACTTTGTTATCTACCCTATGTCAGGGGGATTTTAAACACTGACAGCCATCATCTTAATGGGTAATTATGGAGGATTGACTATGTGCAAATCTCTGCCAAAATCACGGTGAAATGCATAAGAGAAATGCCTTGGACTATTGTTCTAAGGCATCTGTGTTTCTTCCTGGCACCTAGAACTTTAATCTGGAATCTTCCCAAGACAAAGCTAGAACTAAGTTAGTGTTCTTGGATCAGATCAAAATACTCAGCAAGATGTTAGGATTTATCTAAGTAAGGAAGTGAGAGATGGGGCTTCCTGGTACACTCAGAATTAGGGGAATCATTTGACCGGGGCTGTGCCAGTGGGAGCTGCTGTGGGTTCTCACCTAGCAAGGGGGTTTCTGCTACCTACAGGCACCCACAGTCTCTTTCTCCGTCTTTCCTGTCCAGTTCCCCAAAATCTTCTGATTCAGTTACTTCACAGCTGCCTCTTAGGTCCCTAAAGGAAAGTGACAAGTGCCCAGGGTGCCATTGCTTATCTCTGCTGTAAAGCTCTCAGTAATGGCAGAAGACCCTCTCATGGAAATATATCTGTGTATCTGCGCATGTACACACATGGACACACACACACACATACAAATTTTTGTAAGTTTACTATATACTAAAGCAATTTTAGAAGTTTACCAAAGTAATAAACACAATGTTAATTTTTTTTCAAGTTCTGCTTTTTCATTATCTATGTTAGCTTAACCTTAAGTTAATGCTATAACTTAATGCACAGAGGAAGAGATCTGTGTAAMACAAGAATAAAGCACTTAATATGTGTATTTCCCTGAGAAAAATGCAGAATGTATTTTTCACTTTTTATAGAAGAAAATTTAGAAATTCAAATACTAAAAATAATTATTTTATGTCATGATTCTAGGAAAGAATAGAGAAAAAAAAGAGATGAAATAAGAAAGGGGCAAAGAGAGAAAAACATGACTTTCCACCACATTCACGCTGCATGAGCAAAGTGCCCCAGCACAGTCTACACAGGACACATGGCCCCACCTCACCTCCTCAAAGTCTTCACTGACCCACAGTGGGATGGGGGTGCCCCAGTATCTGTTTCTGGAAATTGCCCAGTCACGTGCATCTTTCAGCCAATTTCCAAACCGCTTTTCTCGCACAAACTCTGGGACCCTGCCGTAGTACATTAGACAATGATTTAAGAACAAAATTCCATTGAAATAAAAATTGTAAATTATATTCATATAAGCTTTTGTGAATCAAATGATCTGAAATACTGAGCTCACTGCTAGGAACATGTTTTCTTTTTCTTTTTTTTCCCCCAGTACTGGGGATTGGTCACAGGAGTGCTCTACTTCTGTACTACATCCCTAACCCTTTTTATTTTTTGAGACAGGGTCTCCCTGAATTGCTAAGACTGGCCTTGAACTTGAGATACCAGAAGCATATTTTATAATGGATAGCACCAGCATACGTGATAGCCTTTGCTTCCACTGACTTGACCCAAAGCATATACATTCCCCACATCCTCCTTGTCAACTGAGGACCACCACAGACCTCTCTTGACTAGCCACCCTGACTCCAGCAGCCTCATTCCAATCAATTCTAGTCTTCATGTCATCTGATGACATCAGCTTTACTAAAAAGTATTAGCATAGGCTCCCAACGAGCTGGGTAATTGGAAGTTTCTCTGTGGCCCTCTCTGGTCTCCTCCCTGGTCATCCCTGACCTTGCATTTTAGCCTTCAGCAATGAGGTTAAGTTCCTCGGCATGTGACTCCCCATCTTTCTCTGCCATTCAGTCTTCCTTCCCTCTGCCATCCCTACTACTCCCAGAACTTCTACTATTTTGACTGGAAAAGAGCTCCTATTCCTTAAAGTTCAACTTTGCAGGAATTCCTCTAAGCACAAGGCTGAGTCAGGGTATTGCCAGGCTTCTAAATACGTTGTCTTCTTTTGGGCACTACATTTTTATCCTGCTTTCTACAGGTTACCTTATTCCACACTCTTACCTTATACATTAGGGGAACTAATGAGCTTGCTAGCTTTAGATGAAAAAGCTGCTTTTTGAGAAGTCACACTTGGCTATAATGTATTAGAAAGCCATAGTTTAAAACCATTTTTCTTTATTGTCCTGAGATCTTCTCATTTTCCCCAAATCAAATACAATTCTTTGGTTGGGTTAAGTTACTTACTTCCCTGTGGGAAGTAAGAATTGAAATCCAAACTCGGGGAAAAACATTCTTTTGAAATGCAGATTTGAACTTTGCTTCATTTTGCAAATTCAAACTTTGCTTCATTTTACAAACACAGGTGGAGATGACATTGTCATCTATTTGCCAAACTTCAGCTGCAGAGAGAAAAGTTTCTGAGCTTGGAGTTTACCTATACCAGAACTCAACAAGCACCAAAAATGGTTAAGTACAAATGGTGTTTGCAGATACACCACAAAATGTTTATCCTGAAAATTTTTATTTGATGTTAGCAGAGGGAGTAATTCCAGAATTTTTCCTCCAAAGTCATTTTACTATGTAAAACGAATAAGGGGCCATTTCTCATTTCCATTGGGTTTTAAAGAAAAAAAAAAGCTCCTTTACATGTTGTATCATAAGGATATTACTCTTGTATATTAAATTACTTTATGTATCTTTACCTACAGAATAGAGACAGCTATTACAATGAACAATAAAAGATGATTATAGGGGCTGGTAGAGTGCCTGCACAGTGTGTGATGCACTGGGTTCGATCCTCAGTACCACATAAAAATACATAAATAAAATAAAGGTATCATGTTCAACTTAAAAAAAAAAAGATGACTATAAAAATTATAGTCATAATAAAAATTGTGACTTGGGAGAGTGTAAACCATACTAACTAAAGCAAAGGACAGTATGAAGAAACACATCTCACTGCTCACCAGTAACACAGGTCATTGTTCTTCAGTAGCTGCTCCACCATGTGCTCCACTCTCACAAACCAGCTGGGCACTGCTTTGTAAATGAGCGGAGTGTCTGATCTGGGGAGGCAAACACAGATGGAGCCAGTCAGGAGAGATGTAGGCACCCAAGGAAAACTGACTTTCAGTCTTTTATTAATACACCACTATCTACCTGGACTTCTGCTTAGATGTACACATACATACATGTTATACTGCACTGTATTTTTAAATTTTAATTATTTTATTCTATTCTATTCTATTCTATTCTATTCTATTCTATTTTTTAGTACTGGGGATTTAATTCAGGGATGCTTTATCACTGAACTACATGCTCAGAACTTTTTATTTTTTAATTTTGAGACAGGCTSTCTATAAGTTGCTGAATGAAGCTGGCCTCAAACATGTGATCTTCCAGTCTCAGCCTCCGAAGCTACTGGGATTACAGGGTGTGCCACTGAGCCTGGTTAAAATTCATTTTTATTATAGATGCAAATGTCTTAAGTCTTAAAAATTGGTCATCTCACTGGGGGCAGTGGCATATGCCTGTAATCTCAGCAGCTTGGGATCTAAGGCAGGAGGATCAGAGTTCAAAGCYAGCCTCAGCAATGGCGAGACACTAAGCAACTCAGTGAGACCCTATCTCTAAATAAAATATAAAAAAGGACTGGGAATGTGGCTCAGTGGTCGAGTGCCCCTGAGTTCAATGTCTGATAACAAACAAACAAACGAACAAACAAAAAAACCCAACATCATTTCCACAATACTACGAAGGGCAAAACCCAATAAAAGAACGAGACCAGAGGTGGATGCAGTGCTGCATACCCTTGGAATGCTGCAGCAGGATTGTAAATCTGAGGACAGTCTTACTGAGAGACCCCAAGGAAACTTAGTGAAAGATCATGTCTTAAAAAAAAAAAAGACTAGGTACACAGCTCAATGGTAAAGCACACCTGTGTTCACTACCCAGCACAAAATAAGTAAATAAATAAATAAATACCAACACTAAAAAGAAAAATAAAAGAGTTCTACTGATGACAGTTTTCTAAGATGTGATTTTGTGAATGTCAGCAGAGAGACAAAATATGGGGACTGAATTTTAGGCCACTGAACACTAGATTTTGATACACATATTTGTAGCATGATCCTGTATTAAGACTTGATATCATAACATTGTGTTTCTCAATAAATTCCATTATAAAATTTCAAAGATGTTTGGCATCCTTAAAAAAGAAAAAAAAAATGTGGCCACAACATAAAATAGTGTGTGTCCCCCAACCCCACAACTCCCAAGGAAAGAGACAACTTTTTTGCATTCTCCTAAAAATAAGAGGGCAGTTTCCAAACACTAACTACAGGGTACCCCTGAGATGGATCCTATGAATATGAAGATACAGGCACACAAACGGCATAACCAGAGTGTGGAGCTCCAGCTATGATAGTCTTGGCCTCCTCTCACCTCCAGCAGAAAGGATAGTTGTGTGTGAAGGTGCTGGCAACAAGAAGTCTGCCCTGTTCCTTCAATGTCCTGATGATGTTTTTGTCGGCATCCTGTTAAAAAATAAAAATTCAGTCATTAAATCATCCTATCAGGGCTGGGGATGAGACTCAGCASTAGAGCGCTTGCTTACCACGTGCGAGGCCCTGGGTTCAATCCTCAGAACCACATAAAAATAAATAAAGATATTGTGTTCAACTACAACTAAATATATATAAAAAAAACCCTATCATACTTGGCAGCAACATAATTATATTAGTAAAATCGAACATTGTCTTGTGACTTAAAGGCATCAAAAAATGTGTCATTAAAAAAACAGTGTTCATTTTTAAATACATTCCATGACGTTTTTTTTAAAAGGTGGGGGGGTGACACTGGGGATTAAACCCAGGGACACTTGACTACTGAGCTACAGTCTCAGCCCTTTTTATTTTTTAGAGACAAAGTCTGGCTACACTGCCCAGGCTGGCCCCAAACACGTTACTCTCCACCTCACCCTCCCATGTTGCTGGGATCACAGGGCAAACATCACACCTGGCTCCAAAACATTTAAGGAAGTTTTCAATCGGAAACCATTACCCCAAGGTCACAAAACTGCTTCATGAGACAGAGTCCTGTTTTTGACTCCTGCTCCTGAAACTAGAGCATGCTTCCTTTAAAGACATCATACCCGCCTAGTACAGCTGGTAGTATCTGCCTCTGTTTGATTTGATGCTGAAACAACAAAAAACCCCACCAAGTTCCTAGATGAGTTACAACATAAGCTATAAATGAGAGTGATAAGTTGCACTGATTTGCTTACTTGAGGAGGAAAAAGGGAGGACTGATTGATGAAATATATATATAAGAGCAACATCCTTCTGGTCTTATGGACTACAAACCTTCACATACTGTCCCACGAAATGTGTCACTTCTTCTGTGAAGCAGCCTGAAGCATCCACAGGACAAATAGGGAATGAGTCTTTCTGAATAATGTTGAAGTCCATGCAGACCCGATAGTCATCCTGGGAAAAGGGAACGGAGGAGCAAGAGGGAAGAATAAAACAGTTGAATGTGTGAGGAAGGAGGAAAGCATGAAATGGTAGGTTTACAAACTTTTGAGTATTCTGATATATACACATAATCAGCTTCATCCTTTTAACTAAAGGTGATTCAAGGACCATTTAGGCTGATTAGATCATTCAGCTTAGTCTTTCCAACAATTATTTCACAGACCTGCCATACATAGCAGGGTATTCACTGAGATGACAGAGGACATACATGAATGTTTTAAAACTAAGTCAAATTTGATTTATAACAGGGCTGGGGATGTGGCTCAAGTGGTAGCGTGCTCGCCCTAGCGTGCATGAGGCACTGGGTTCGATTCTCAGCACCACATAAAAATAAAATAACCATATTGTGTCCACCTAAAACTAAAAAATAAATATTTTTTTAAAAATTTGATTTATAACAGCAGCATATATACAAATCTAAAAAACAAAGGCACATACAGGTATAAAGCACAATCTAATGCACCACAAGATGCTTGATATACATCTGGGCATGCATCCTATCAAAGGATGCCAATAATAATCTAAAACCAAGGTATTCACTTTATAAATATATCACGGGGGCTGGGGAGGTGGCTCAAACAGGTAACTCGCTTGCCTGGCATGCGCGGGGTGCTCGGTTCAATCCTCAGCACCAAATAAAAATAAAATAAAGATGTTGTGTCCACCGAAAACAAACAAATAAATAAATAAATCACAGTGCCTCAGGAATAGCCTTGAAGAGTGTTAACCATTAGACCTGCATGTCGGCAATGCCGAGCACTTCATCACACTACCTCATTTAGCCCTCATGATGCTGCTGCAAGGAAGGCAGAAGGTATACTAGGGTTTCACAAGKGCTTTCCTTGTACACAACAGTGATAACCCCCATGTTACGCATAAGGGGGCTGACACACAAAGACGTCAGCTGCAGGGGCTAGGGTTGTGGCTCAGTGGTAAAGTGTTTGCCTAGCATGTGTGAGGCACTGGGTTCAATTCTCAGCACCATATAAAAACAAATAAATAATTAAAGGTCTGTCAATAACTAATAAAAATAAATAAATAAAAAACCCCCACAAAAACCCCAAACAAGAAGTCAGCTGCAAAGTGGCAATAGTAAGAGTCAAATCCAAACAGCCCACTTCATTCAGAGTCTACAGTGTCCACTAACATGCTATGCTGCTTAAATATGAAGTTACAGAGGCTGTTAGACTGAAACTACTCTGGTTTGACTATAAGACAAGCTAGAAAGCTAACATGCTTCTTCCTGGAACTGTGTTCACTTCTCACTGCGCTGTATTGCTTGGGTGGTGGGACGTGTGGGCAGACAGGAAATGCCCAAGACATAAAAACTGGAAATATTAAGTGCAGTGCAAACAGCCCTCAGCCACTTCGATAAGGAAAGAGCAGCCCCTTGAATGGAAGGGGAACAGGTGATGTTGAACACAGTGATGTAGTGTACTCCCAGGCAAAGACAAGGTAAGTTGAGGCCTCTTAGAAAATGTTTTCCAAGTGGGCTTAAAAAGTATGGTTTGCATAAGTGCATGGTATAACTATAGTTAGATATGTGAAGTATAACTATAGTTAGTAACAACTATTCACATTTAACAAGGACAATCTGAACTATGATTCAAAAACATGAGGCTACCTTTATTTTTTGGTGCTGTGACTCAGTTACAGAAGTTGTATTTTCATTATGTACTATGAGTGGAGTAATCATTACCAGCGGACACTAAAAATTTTTTGACCTCATATGTGACCAGTTCCTACAACACTAATTGGTATCATTAAGACTACTCACATCAAATATGAATAATTATTAGGCCTATTAAGGAAATGTTGATTTTATTGTATATAACAATGGCATGGTGACTACATTAAAAAGAAATGTCCTTATCAATCACAGATGCACCTGGGATTAAAGAAAGACATGAGGTTGAGGATTTGCTTCAAAATCCTCTAACCAAAATAAAAGAGGTACAAGGGAAAGAAGGGAGAACAAAATAAATTGTTATAACAAAGTCCAGAGTCTATAGGTGCCCCGTGGGCACTACCCTTGCAGTAGTGACCACAGGGACTCTCACTCTTACAGTATTAAGCACTGTGCTAAACTCCAGGGACATGATGACATTTAATCCTTCAGTTACCCCAATAGGCAACTATCATCACCTCATCCTACAGAGGAGAAAAGGAAACTCAGGCTACAACACTGGCCCAGGATCTTCCCATCAGCAGCAGGACCACGATTCAAGGTTTACAAATCTAAATGTGCCTTTACAAATCTCTGTTATTTGATTATATCTTTATATATAAATTATATTAAAGGGAATGTGTTGTTTAAAAATTTTTATTCTAGGAAAAACATAAAAGGGAGCACCCTTCTATAGGGTTTAGGAAGATAAGGACAGATTCTTCCTCCTGATCTTATAGTATTTGGTTAAGAACAAGTAGGGGAAATGGAAGAGATCTTTATTTTATGGTCCAAGTGTCTGTACGTCTCTAAGTGCTGTTAAAGCTTACAGAGCTTGTCAAAACTTCAACTGCACACACACAAGACAGACATTTACTACATGTAAACCATGAAAGAATGAATAAAGACAACAGGAATGGTGGCCTTTTGGAGCTTAAATGTCAGGCCACAGACCAGGATTTTACCCATCATTTCCAGAAACCAGTTCACAATGAGTAGAAACTGAAGATGCAAGTTTAACATGCCATCTTGGGAGGAGTGAGCCAAAGAAGAGGCTGACTCCATAGTCCACACGAGAAGAGCCTGATAACACATAAGACTCAGCATCCCATGAAAAGCAGCTATTGACATTTACTTCTCATAAGTAAGTTTGCAAGATTCTGCTACTCACAGCACCAAAGTAAGGGGCCTGATGTACAACCCCTGTGCCTTCTTCCTCCTTCACATAGTGGTCAACAAGCACAGTGAAAGCGCCATTCTCTTTACACTGCAAAAAAAAAGAAAGGTTGGCAGGCATCAGGGATGGAGAGAAAAACACTTCTGCATCAACAATGCTAAGAGCCTGAAAAACCCTTTAGCATGTGAAGTTATTTTCAGAAATAGAAAAGATAGGATTATTCAGGTTGGGAAGAAACCTGATGATTAAGACATCATTTCTCTGGATAGTGGCTCACCATTTATTGATGATGGAATTATCTGAAGACTTACAGATAAAATTTTCTAATTTTTGTGGCCACATAACTGGGCTTCTTCATTATTTTCCCTTGCCTGAGCATGAACTCGCATATGGTCTCACTTCTGGTTTATTTCCATTCATTGCATGTGCTTTGCTTTCTTCCTCCTTTCAACCCAGCTCAAGCAATTCAGTCACAGAAGGAAATTTCAAAGAATATGGATAGGGGAATCAATATGCATAAGTTCCCTAGTACAGTATAAACAATACATAGATACATATACAAACCTAACAAAGCATAAGGTGACTCCTTCTATAATGTGAAAGCATTATTTAAAAATTCCCACATAAGCTGGGCATGGTGGCACAAACCTGTAATCCCAGGGACTCAGGATGTTGAGGCAGGAAGATCAAAAGTTTGAGGCCAGCCTCAGCAAATTAGCGAGACCCTGTCTCAAAATAAAAAGGGCTAGGGATGGATGTGGCTCAGTGGTGGTAGAGTGGCAGAGTGTCCCTGTGTTCAAAAGCCAGTACCAAAAAACAAAACACCCTAAAAAACCCCAACCCCCTGCCCCCGCTTTTTGTGGATTAAATCCAGGGCCTGTGCATGCCAAGTGACTACAATTGAGCTACACCCCAGACATTCCCACATGAATTTAATGATTTAAGCCAGAAGGCAACAATTTAATTTTGTTAATGCTAATTCAGATTGTGGGTTCAGGCACACTCACATGGACAATCCAACAACAAGAACTGAATCCACTCATCACTTCACTGCAGTAATCAAAGAAATGGATGTGGGGAGTCCCTGCCATGGTGTTCCCTATACTTACCTTCACAAAATAGTCGAACAGAGGCTTGTACTTCTTGCCTTTGAGAGAGACACCAGGAAATCTGGAAAAAGGAGAAATGCAAATTCACTGTTAAGTTAAAGAAATGAGGCTGCAAGTCACACCAAGTCTCCACTTTCACTGGTTTCCTGACCCTTAGTCATGAGAGCAGAACATATGCCCTGGACTTACTAGTACTTAGGATTCAACTTGAAAAATATAGTGGTGGGTAATAAAGTTGTCTCTTTAAAACTAAAGTCAGATACACATACATACACCCACATATCAACTATCTGAATAATTACCTTTCAAGGACCTCGTAGTCACTCTCCATTTTATAGAGGGCTGATAATCTGGCTTCCATTAAAATGAGTAATTTTCCTCTGGCAACATCTATGAGAATGAAAAAAGGTAGACCTCAGTGAGATTCAGACAGACTGGCTCTGGAGACATGCATCAGGCCTATTTCTTTGCTGAAGAGCTCCTGTGCCACCAGCACCAGAGTGCTCAGGACTTGGAGGGGAGCACTGCACAGAACACTGCAGCACCCTGCTTTCCAGACCTGTGTCAGACAGACCCCAAAGGCATGTAGGCAGCTAGCTGTTATTTTATTTCTCACCCATATCTATTTGAAGAAAGTTGGTCTTATTTTCTCCTTCTTTAGGTTAATACATGTGAATGTTTAAAAAATCAGAACATTAACAAAAATCAAATGGCTCACAAAGTAAAAGTCCCATAYGATCTCACTCCCTCTCAGATATCCTCATTCAGGTGTCTCTCCATCCAGATTTTTTAATGCACATTCTACCTAAGAAATGTATATGTAAACTTGTAAGTTCTTCTTTAAAAAAAAATTTTTTTTTAGTTGTAGTTGAACATGATACCTTTATTCTATTTATTTATTTTTAGTGGTGCTGAGGATCAAACCCAGGGCCTTGCATGTGCTAGGCGAGCGCTCTACCGCTAAGCCACAACCACAGCCCCTCTTTATTTTTTCAAATATTATGAGGCAATACTCTATACGGTTTTGCAACTTGTTTTCACATAATATTTTGTGAACATTGCTCCATATATTACCATACATACATCTTTCTAATTCTTTTTATTCTTTCTTTTTTTGCAGTGCTGGGATCAAACACAGGGCCTGTGTGCAGGAAGCCATTCATGAAATACATGAGGACCTTCTCTCAGCATGGAAGCCAGGAAGGAATAGGCATGGCATTGGGAACTTCCTGTGGTTATCCTGTGGTGACAGACTGCCCAATGCATGTTACCCTCTACTCTGCTAGAAATGTTCCTCATAGTAGCATCTGAGATGGGTATAACCCATTAGGAACTGAACAGACCACATTTCAAGAATGAGTAGAACTCTATTGTATGTAAATAATTGTATTTTGTTAATCAATTCATCTGTTGATAAGACACTTGGGATGCATCCAACTTTTGGCTACTGTGAATATTCCTACTGTGAAAATGGGCACATCAATATTTGTTCAAGTCCCGTTTCTCAATTCTTTAAGGTAAATACAAAAAAGTGAAAATTTTGAGCCAAGCATGGTGATGCATTCCTATAATCCCAGTGACCCCCGAGAGACCAAGACAAGTGGATCACAAGTTTTAGGCCAGACTCAGCAGCTTAGTGAGGCCCAAAGCAACTTAGCAAGACTCCATATCTCAAAAGAAAAAGGGCTAAGGATGTAGGTCAGTGGTAGAGCATTCCTGGGTTCAATCCCTACTATCAGTACCCCGGCAAATGTTTTCTTTTTTCTTTTTTGCTATTTTAGGGATAGGACCCAATGGTGTTCTATCACAGAGCTACATCCTAGCTACCTACTCCCTTTTTATACTGAGAAAGAGTCTTTCACTAAGTTGCTGAGGCTGGCATTGAACTTGAAATTCTCCTGCCTCACCCTCCCAAGTAGCTGTGATTATTGGTGTGTATCACTGCATCTGGCTGGCAGTGGGTTTTTCTCTTCTTTGTTTCATTTCCCTTCCGTAAGCTATCCAAATATGAAGGTACACTTACTCACTAAGTACATTCTTTTTTCATTTAAGTCTCTATGGAAGGACCTAGTTGAGCCTGTGATAACTCTCTACCAGGGAATATTTGAAAGGCATAAAATTCTCAAGTTCTGGTACTGATTTCTAAAAGTGAATGTGATGTCATGTTTTTGAATCTTAGAGTCTTAATCTATCTTAAGGCATTAAGTATAAAAGCAGCTTACAAACTGAAAATTATGAGAAGATTTTACTTTCTACTTTTTAATATTTCAGAATTATTTTAATCTTTTAGTGTTACTTTTCAATCAGAAATAAAAGAATCTTAAAGTCTACCTACCTTTATGATTAAATAAAATTCTTTGATTACTTTGGTACTGGGGATTGAACCCTGGGATGCTTTATCACCGAGCTAAGTGCCAGCCCTTTTCCTTTTTTTCTGTCCCCCTGAATTTTGAGATAGGATCTTACTAAGTTCTTAGGGCCCTGCTAAATTGCTGAAGCTGGCTCTGAACTTGCAATCCCAAATTGCTGGGACTACAGGTGTGTACCACCAAGCCTGGGTAAATAAAATTATCTATATTTGTCACAACTAACCAGGCACCCACTTACCTTTAATCTTCACATACTGCATATCTGGATTAACACAGAGGGCAAGATTACTAGGTAGAGTCCAAGGAGTAGTTGTCCAAGCAACTAAGGAGATACTTTCATCTTCCTCCAAAGGGAAAGTTACAAATATTGAGGGATCTTGAACATCCTGAAATAAATTGAGGTAAAGTACTATTTTACAAACCCTCAACAAGAGTCACAAAATAAAAGGAAACAAATCCTAAATAGGACTAAAATAAATGAATTTTACTAGCAGGGTGTGGTAATCCCATCAACTCAAGAGGCAAAGGCAGGAAGATCATGAATTCAAAGCCAGTCTCAGCAATAATACCCTGTCTGATAAAATATACTAAAGGGCTAGGGATGTGGCTCAGTAGTCGAGTGCCCCTGAGTTCAATTCCTGGAACACACCCCACAAAAAACAAAACAAAACAAAACAACAACAACAACAACAAAAACCTGTTTACTGAGTGGTATGCTGGTACATGCCTATAATCCCAGTGACTTGAGAGGCAGAGGCCAGAGGACTGAAAGTTTGAGGCCAGCCTACCAATTTGCCCAGGCCCTAAGTAACTTAGTGAAATCCTGTCTCAAAACTTAAAAATGGGCTGGGGATTTTGCTCAGAGGTAAACTATCTGTGGGTTAAGTTCCCAGCACCAAACAAAACAAAGCAACCATGCACCACATTTATAAAAAGAAAGTTCAAAGCAAGAAATTTCACATAAAATTTTTAATACTTAGCTGGGCATGGTGGTGCACGCCTATAATCCCAGTGGCTCAGGAGGCTGAGACAGGATGATCATAAATTCAAGACCAGTCTCAGCAATTTAGCAAGACCCTAATCAACGTAGTGAGACTATCTCAAAATAAAAACTAAAAAATAGACAGGCATGGTGGCGTACACCTGGAATCCCAGTGGCTTGGGAGACTGAAGCAGGAGAATAGATGGCAAGTTCAAAGCCAGCCTCGGCAACAGTAAGGTGCTAAGCAATTCAGTAAGACCCTGTCTCTATGAAAAGGAATAAAAGAATGGAGCCTTCACTGTTAGAACGATCTTTTTTATAATAAGCCTATGAAGAGTTAAGTCAACAAAACAACTGTTTTAGAAAATAGTTATCTTGGGGCAGGGGTTGTGGCCCTGTGGTAGAGCCTTGACTAGCACATGTGAGGCACTGGGTTTGATCCTCAACACCACATAGGAATAAGTAGATAAAATAAAGGTATTTTGTCCACTACAATTAAAAAAATACATAAGCTGGGCACAGTGGGGCATGCCTGCAAACTCAGCAAGATCTAAATAGAAAATAATCCTGGAACCATTATGAAATAATTAGAAATGTGAACACCAGCTGGTCGCGTTGGGGCACACCTATAATCCCAGCTACTTGGGAAGCTGAGGCAGGAGGATTGTGAGTTCAAAGCCAACCTCAGCAACAGTAAGGCGCTAAGCAACTTAGTGAGACCCTGACTCTAAATAAAATACAAAATAGGGCTCAGGCTTAGTATTCAGGTAGTATATTTTTCTCTATACTTTTATGTGCTTGAAATATTTTATTAAATAAACACAACACAATATGAGCACAATCACAAGAAGACAAAAAGGAATCATCACATTCATCTCATAAGGATTTGCAAAGATCAAATGGAATATGTGAAAGCATCCTCTAAGAGGATGAGGCCTTATAAAATTTGAATTTTATTAATATAATTTCSAAACCTGGCTCCTGAAACAAGACTTCCAAACAAGTTAATATCCATTAAAAACACAGGATTAGATGAACTTGCAAAAATGAAAACACTTCCTATGTTTCAGAAGATTCCCTGCCATTTACCATCTGTCTAGATGAGGTAAAGAAAATCAGAATGTCTCAACACCTCTGTCACAYTAATGACAGGTAGAGACTCCATTTCATCAAAGAACAGATCATAATACAATTCACCATCCCAAATTTTCTTCCCAACATCTAATGATGTACCAGGTCCCAGATACAGCACAAAGTCACCCAAAATGGTAACCATTAATTTTGAGTGGTGGGAAGTATGTCAGAGCTGGAATTATAAATGAAGAGAAGCATAAAAATATGCTCAAAGCAAGCAAAATCTATAAGACACCTCATAAATTCAATGTAAACAAAACCAAAAGCTCATTTTAATCGTACAAGAGGCTTCATTCAGTGACTGGTAACATTATCAGTCCTCAGTAGTGACCAATGCCAAGACTGCCATTCCATGTTGGGGCTACCTGGGAGTACTTAATGATGTCTACAACCATTCAACCTCCAGGTACATTACTTGGCACTGAAAGATATCTCACCATTTCACATACCTTATAATTCTGGTGGGATTCGAAGTTGGAAAGTGGAGTGTTACATGCAGTGGAGAAGGGCATGACTTTCACCCCTCTGTATACAAGGCCTTTGTCATAGAGTTGTTTAAAGACCCACCTGGCAAGTAAAGAGTTGGGAGTTTCATAATTACATATACAAAAATCTATTTCCTCAAACACAAATATTTATGAACATTTTCAGTTTCTGTCTGCCAAAGAAGTGAAAAAATGTCTCATTTGTGGACTAAGTAGTAAATTACATCAGATCTTATAATTAATTACAAGACATTGAATAAACACTAAATATACTACTCTCTATTGACATTTTTATGTTCATGACATAATGTGAAGACCATTCAGCACAACGAAGGGCCAATGATATAAATCTGTACCTATCAGCATACATACTAAAATTTTTAGAAATGTTAAAAAAAAACAACAATAATTATGGTTGGCATTTCAGAGCTGATCCTTTCGTTTTTTTGGTCTACTATTTAAATCTCATAATAGTTTAACAAATGCAATTTTTTAAAAAAGTATAAACTACTGGGATTAGGATCAGCTGTTTCTTGTACATTAAAAACAAATTTTTAATATTATTTTTTAGTTGTAATTGGACACAATATCTTTATTTTTATGTGGTGTTGAGGACCAAACCCAGGGCCTTGCACGTGCTAGCCAAGAGATCTACCACTGAGCCACAACCCCAGCCCCTTCTTGTACATTTTTAAAATACTTTTTTAAGTTGCTGATAGACCTTTATTTTAAAAATTTATTTATTTAGATGTGGTGCTGAAAATCAAACCCAGTGTCTCACACATGTGAGGCAAGTGCACTCCCACTGAGCCACAGCCCCAACCTCATATTTCTTGTACATTTAATCAAAACTTTTACTGAGCTTTTAAATGTGCTGTGTTAAGCTAAGTACACCAGGCACTAATTGTAATGGTCACTCCAAGAGTTCTTCTCCCAGTTGAATAATAAAGGCACTATTAGAAATCCTTGCTTAATTATGCCTTAAAAAAATTATATTCTAGTGGCTATGAACCTGGCACAGTAAATGAATTAAACTCATTTGTTAAAATAACATTTTAATGAAGAAAAGGTTTTTTAAAAAATGTTATTCCTGAGCTTTTAAAGCTTAAAAAAAGGTAAGCTTTTAAAAATTCTTAAAAAGTTTAGATTTGATGAAATAATCATTAGCTGTGCAAGCTCACGCAAATCATAATTACTTGCCTCTACCTCAAATAGGGGTCCTGAGTCTATCCATGGAACTCTCTGGGTCATATGGGAAAATTCATGGGGAATACTTTATATAGTCAAAAGCAACAACTGAATCTAACTTACTACCACTATTACTGTTATTATCAAGGTTATCTCCTACCATTTCTAAATTCACCATTAGCTTACATGCCTTATTTATATACAAACAAATTCCTTAGGAGTATTTAAATATTTTTTTTAGTATTTATATTTTAATTGTAGTTGAACACAATATCTTTATTTTATGTATTTATTTTTTATGTGGCAATGAGGATAGAAACCAGGGCCTCGCACGTGCTAGGYGAGCATTTTACCACTCAGTAGCCCCTCCTTAGGAGTATTAACATTCTAAAATTTAAAATCTATTTTCCTCTTGGTCCAACCATTTATGTAAATTAAGAAGTAAGAAGAAGAGTAAGAAGAAAAGGAGTGGGTTTTAGAGCTATACTAATTAATGAGTGCTATCCACATGTTGTTTTTAATTTAAACTAAAAAAACTTAAACATTTCAATTTGGTAAACTTAAAAATTCAGTTTCATGGCACTTCTTTTTGAAATGCTTGACCAATAACTGGTTGTCAGTTGCTCTAGGGAAATCCAGCTGCTCAATGACAGGAAGGTTCCTGTTCAAAGTCTAGCATTCCAGAAAATCTAAATGGCTTCCTTCTTTTGGGTACGTAAGTCTAGAGATATGTCCACAGGTGCATGTCAGAGTCAAAGGGATTGAAGAACTGTGGTAAAGTGCCTAGCTCCTCAAAGGCAAAGTATGTATGCCAAGCATGCATAACAGATTCAGACTAAGAGAAATGTGAGTGGATAAGAAGGCAATAAAAGCTACAAGCAGCTACAAAGCAATTCAAAGAAACTGTGGTCTACAAAACAGCTCTGCAACTCACCTGTACTTTCATGTACAATTTAATGAAAGTAGGACTTAATCAAGACTGGATTATGTACCTCGGACATTTATAACCATGCTAAGGGTACCTGTTTGCCTTGTAATGATCTCATATTATCGTAGAAGCCCTAGGCAAACCACCGATCAAGGTTGGCACGGCTAATGATGGTCAAAAAAAAATTTCACTTGGAACCACTATGGAACAGTGACTTCACTACATAGTTTCTTTCAGCACTAAATTCAGGTACACATTCTCTTAGACTTAAAAAACAAACAAATAAATAAATAAAACCCCCACTTTTGAAATGTAATTTTTTCCTATATTTGGTATAAACTAATTTGAAAAAAAATGTAAAATATAAATGTGAGGACATTTACATTCTTTATTCTACTTAAGGATGCAGAATTATTAATGTATTTATTAGAATTTTCGATTCAACCCACTTGGACTATTATATGTAAAAGAATACATGCAAATACTGGTAAATTTTTCAAATACAAATGTTCTGAATTCAAAAACATTATTTATTCCCAAATATACAGAATTATGGATCTGAAGACAAAGTAATTCACACTAGCATACCTCCCCACTGACCAAGAGAATATTCATTGTATTTACAATTTTAAAGAAACCTACCAGACAGATTCCATGAACTGTGGATACAGAGTTTTGTAGTCATTGTCAAAGTCAATCCATCGGCCAAGTCTGGTAACAGTAGACTAAAACGTATGGATATTAGAGCAGTATTAGACAATGATATTTGATATTGTACACCAATGTGTTGTTTATTTTTATTATATCCATATATGATAATTTTTGGAAATCCAAACAATAAAATGGTTAAAATAAATCTATATTTCAAACAACATACTATGTGAAGTTAAGAATTATACTATATACAGATGCTAAAATATCCATTTATAAAAGTCAACCAAAACTGCCATTTGGCAATAACCAGAAATATAATCGTTGCTAGTAAATAATCAACACGTGCTCAAATTAATAAGTGAAAGTATCCTAAGAAAAAGAATATTTGGGGCTGGGGTTGTAGCYCGAGCGGTAGCGCGCTCGCCTGGCATGCGTGCGGCCCGGGTTCGATCCTCAGCACCACATACCAACAAAGATGTTGTGTCCGCTGAAAACTAAACAATAGGTATTAAAAATTCTCTCTCTCTCWMAAAAAAAAAAAAAAAAAAAAAAAGAATATTTGGCTGGGCGCCGTGGTCCATGCCTCTAATCCCGATGGTTCTGGACAGTGAGTTCAAAGCCAGCCTCAGCAACTTAGTGAGGCCCTAAGTAACTCAGCAAGATCCTATCTCCAAATAAAATACAAAAAACCAGCTGGGGATAGTTAAGCGCCCTTGAGTTCAATGCTGGGTACAAAAAAAAAAAAAAAAAAAAAAAGAATATTTGAAAAGATACTCCCAACAAAAGAAAAACTTTACAAAGGAGACAACCAACAGATGACACCTTAAATGAACAAAGTTATCATCATTAATGAGACATAGCAATAACACAGGCTTCCTGCCATGACATGCTGAGGAGGACATGACATCACCTCTGAAGCATTCCTGTCCAAAACCTGTAACCTAAATTAAATTTGTGAGGATAAAAGTAATATGGATTGGGTGTGGTGTTGCACATCTATAATCCCAACTTATTAGGAGGCAGAGGCAGGAGGACTGAAAGTTTGAAGTCAGCCTCAGCAACTTAGTGAGACTGTGTCATAAAATACAAAATAAGTAAGTCCTGGGGACGTAGCACAGTGGTAAACCATCTCTGGGTTCAATCCCTACTAACACCTCCCACACCCCAGAAGCACCAATGTCGAGAAAGACAAAGATTGAATGACTGTTTGATATTGAAAGAGCCTGAGCTGGTAGCGATGGAGTATGCCTGAAATCTCAGCAGCTTAGGAGGGTGAGACAGGAGGATAGTAAGTTCAAAGCCAGCCCAAAGCCAGCCTAGGCAAAATGGAGGCACTAAGCAACTCAGTGAGACCCGATCTCTAAATAAAATACAAAATAGGGCTGGGGATGTGGCCCAGTGGTGGAATGCGCCGGAGTTTAATCCCCTGTAACCACCCCCAAACAAAAGTGGGACTGACAAGACACGACAACCAAATGCAATTTATGATTCTGGATTGGATATTAGTTCAGAAGTAAAAATTGGTAGGATAACTGGTGAAATTCAAACAAGATCCATAGTATTTTGAGCTGGGTTGTGGCTCAGTGGTAGAGCACTTGCCTGGCATGTGTGAGGCACTGGGTTTGATTCTCAGCACCACATATAAATAAATGAATAAAATGAAGTCCAATCAACAACTAAAATATATACATAAATTTAAAATATATAAATTATAAATATAAATTATCTCATTAATGATGATAACTTTGTTCATTTAAGGTGTTATCTGTTGGTTGATAGTATTTTATCAATGTTAGTTTACTGCTTTTGAAATTACATTATAATTATAGAAGACAGGAGCAATTGGGAAAGTGGATGAAGGGTTTAGAGGAATGCTTCAAACATTTTTTAACATGTCTGAAATGACATCAGGGGCTGAGAAGGAAGGTAGAGGGCATGTTTAGAATGTGAGAGGTGAGAGGACCTGGATGGATTCCCCAGCACCACAAAAAACAACTTTCAGAATGAAAAGTCTAAAAATTAAAAAAATGCCTATATCTATATTAGGATTTGGCACCTGATGTGATCATGGCTGGAAGAGTCATACCACTAGCCAAACAGGGAATTCTGAAGAATAGCAAGTTTGAGAGGTTGAAATGAAGATGGAGAATAAGGAAAAAACAAAGCCAGACATGCTTTTAAGTTATACAAACATACTAAGCCAATCTGAGAGGCAGGGAGGAAAGGGGAATCTATGTTCTGAAGTTCAGAAGAAGAGGAGGGCAGGAGCTCTGCAGCTTGGAGATTGATTACTAAAAATAAGAGTGCAGGGGCTGGGGATGTGGCTCAAGCAGTAGCACACTCGCCTGGCATGCGTGTGGCCTGGGTTTGATCCTCAGTACCACATACAAACAAAGATGTTGTGTCCACCCAAAACTGAAAAATAAATATTAAAAAATTATCTCTCTCTCTGTTAAAAAAAAAAAAAAAAAGAAGAGTGCAACATGGGAGTCCAATTAACATAACAAGCATGAGCCCAAACTTGATTTTTTGTTGTTGTTGTTCCAGAGACTGAACCCAGGGGTGCTAAACCATATTCCCAATCCTTCTTTGTATTTTATTTAGAATCTGAGTTGCTTAGCGCCTCACTAAGTTATTGAGGCTGGCTTTGAACTCATAATCCTCCTGCCTTAGCCACCCAAGCTGCTGGGATTGTAGGCATGTGCCACTGTGCCAGGCCCAAACTTGAAGTTTTAAAAATATATGAATTATTACAACGAAGCATTCAAGTAAGCCTGTTTGCTGAAACAGCATGATTCTAGTCATATACTGTGGGGTAGGCAGGAGACTAAATTTAGAAGACCAACCAAGCTCATAGAAATCAGAAAAGAGAGGCTTCAGTTTAAGTTAACAGGATTGGGATGGAAGCTAAAGACCCTTTCTTAGTAATACACATGCAAAGAAGAGGATCAACCCCTTTTGTGTCACATCTTCGTATGCACCACCATACTTTTGAGAACATCTCATAAAAAGAACAAAGRATAATAGGCCATTTCAACTTTCATTTAAAACTAAACTTTTTGTTCATTCTACTGAAAATAACCTAACATACCTCCCACTCAGCAGAATATCTCATCACAATTGTGCGGCACTGATTGTTATACTCTGCAATTCCCATTTTGGCCACATCCTCTGGCCCTCTGATTCCCAGTGTCTTATCAATTTCATATTCCTGAAAATTTGTGGGAAGACTGTTAACATTCTTGACTTAAGAAACAAATACAAGTAAGCAACTCAAGAAAATAAACAGCTTAAAAAATAACCAATAGTTCTCAATCTACAGAGAAAATGAACTATAAATAATTTTATGGAAATGAAGAACAAAAAGTCAGACATATAGTTAAAATTTACTATATTTCAATGACATTATGAAATGTAATGCTTAAAAAAATCAGATTTATAAGGCTGGAGACTCAAACATACCACAGGTAAGCCATGACAATCCCATCCAAATCTTCTGTCAACGTGAAACCCGCTCTGGTGAGCATATCTTGTAACTATATCTTTAATTGTCCCCGCAAGTATGTGTCCATAATGAGGCAGTCCAGTTGCAAAAGGAGGCCCATCATAGAAGGTAAATCTAACAGAGGTAATAAAAACACATTAGTAATTTTAGAATTGACAGCAAAAATTTAAGACATTTTTTTTTTTTTTAATACCCAACTCCTACTGCAGTGTTTAGGAAGGAAAAAAAGTAGCAAGATCAGGAATTTCAGACATAATTGATTAGATATTTACTAGAGGCCTAGGTTTCAGAAAGTCTACTGGTTATGAGAGTTGGGGAGACTGCCATTTGATTATCCTTTCTTCATTTATTGGTCTATTAACTTAAGACAAGTTAATAGCTCTGATCCTGAGTTAGCTCATCAGTAAAACAGGGCAACAGACACTGATCTCAAAGCTTTTGACCACAGAAGGCACACAATGGAATCAGTGATTAAAGGACTGGTCTTTTAGGTAAATGGAGACCAGAGGCAGTAAGTACTGTAAAAGCCTTCTATATAGGACTTAGGTATAAGTGCTAAGAGAGGGTGGCGATGATGAAAAAAGTGGAATGGTAGAGAGTGGTATATTCATTCTATTTAGATGGTTTCTTAAAGAAATTTAATCTACCTTAACCAAGAACTCATCCATTTAACAATTACCTACTACTGAGCATGCAGCATGTAAAAAGCAGGTACAATGTGGAGATACAAAGATGAATAAAGGGTTTCTGCTTTAGTGGAACTCATTCTAAGAAACGTTTGCTTTCAAGGACTTCACCTTTACCAAAGAAATTCACATACTTTGGCCTATGTTTTGACTGCTTTAAGCATTCCTGAAAACAATTGAATTTGGACCAGAATTGCAAAATTTTTTCTTCTTCAGCAGGAAAATTGATGTTTTCTGGAACTTGTTGAACCATTCTGTTGCTGCAAAAGAAATCAAATTTATTACTGTCAAAAGAGAAATCTAGGAATAGCAGGGTAATATATTATTAAATGAGTGAACATATCACTACATAACTATATGATAAAATTATAGCTTTACTGAGGTCCCTTCACATAACATAAAGTCCAGTCTTTTAAAATGGACAATACAGTAGGTTTCAGTATATTCAAAGGGTTATGTATCATTATCACTATTCATTTCAACACTTCTCAACCCCTATAATAAATTAGCAGTCACATTCACTTCTTTGGTCCCTGAAAAGCTTTAAACAGCTTTCTTAAGTTGCCTATTTTGACATTTCATAAATGGAAGCATTTCTATGAGTCATCTATATGTGTCTGGGTTTCATTTCATTAGCATGTTTTTAAGATTCATTTGTGCTGTGACAAGTATTCATACTGCATTACTTTTTATGGCTGAGTATGTTCTTCTACATTAATACATGATACAGTGTTTTTCCATTCATTAGTGCACAGACTCTTGGGTTGTTTCCACTTTGGGCTATTGTGAATAAGGTTGATATGAATGTTCAGGTACAAGTTTGCATGTGGGTATACAGTTTTATTTTTCTTTAGGAGCAGAATTTCTGGGTCATATGTTAACTCCATATTTTAGCTTTATGACAAACTACCAAAATACTTAACAAAGTGACTGCAATGGGCTGGGGTGTAGCTCAACGGTAGAGTGCTAGTCTATATGCAAGAACCCTGGGTTCAATACACAGTACCAACATCAAAACAACACACACAAAACCAAAGTGACTGCACCACTTTACATTCCCCCAGCAGAGAATGAGGATGTCAATTTCTCCAAATCTTCCCCAACACTCCTTATTGTCCACCTTTGGATTACAGCTATCTGAGAGGGTATGAAGTGGTATCTGATTGTGGTTTTGAATCACATTTCCGTAATGACTAATGATGTTGAGTATCATTCCAGGTATTTATTGTCCTTTTGTGTCCTCTGTGGGTAAACATTCATGCTATGCCCATCTTTAGTTGGGTTTTCTTTTCATGGTTGAGTTTTAAGAATTCTTTATATATTCTGGATACAAGTCCTTCATCAGATATATGATTTGAAAAATTTTCTCCTGTGAGTTGTCTTTATTTTATATATTTTTTTGGGTACTAGGAATAGAAATCAGGGGCACTCGACCACTGAGTCACATCCCCAACCCTATTTTTTTTTTGTATTTTATTTAGAGACAGGGTCTCATACAGTTGCTTAGCACCTTGCTTTTGCTGAGGGTGGCTTTGAAAACTTGTGATTCTCCTGCCTCAGCCTCCAGAGTCACTGGGATTATAGTGCACCACCGCACCTGGCTTTGTCTTTAATTTTCTTGATGGTATTATCTGAAGTAAAACAAAACATTTTTATGTGTTTTTTTGTTTGAATTCTGGTGTTATAAACAATAAACCATTACCTAATTAGTTCCTAGTAAGAAATGTCTTATTAAAGTACCCTGTGAAAGTTTTGCTAATAACCTCAGACACTTGATCCACCTGTGACTTCACTATCTAATGAGCATCATTCAAGCCCCTTCCCTCTCAAAGGCGATTTACTTAAAATTCTTTTTTCAAATATTTATTTTTTAGTTGTAGTTGGACACAATACCTTTATTTTATTTATTTATTTTTATGTGTTACTGAGGATAGAACCCAGCACCTTGCATGTGCTAGGCCAGTGCTCTACTGCTGAGCCACAACCCCAACCTCTTAAAATTCTAATAAAGTTAGTAACCAGATTTCTAAGCCAAGGTCAGATTCTAAGCCAAGGTCAGATTGCTAATAATGAGAGAACAATAGAGAAGATGGAAAGCCTTAAGTACTCAAGAATAATATCAGTTAGAAGTAATTGACTCTACAAGAAAAGACCTATATAGTCCTCAACCAATTCTGAAAGCACTGAAAGCTCTGTGGTCTAAGTATAGCAATCAACTCAGGCCAACAGAAAAGTATTTTGTAAATAGTCTTTCCTTTTTTGTTCTCATTGAGTGCCTATGTTCTATATAGGAAAAAAATCAGATAAAAACAGGTGGGCTGTTTAAACTATCTGAAATYGCCATTTCCAGTCAGGGTGCACCGTTAAACAATATTAAATAGAAGCTATAAGGTACTTTAGATTTTCAACTCTTACTACAACCTCCAACCTTTCAAGGCCGTAAAGAAGTACTGGTTTCTGCACACTGATGAAGCATCCTAGTGGTTCAGTGGCTACTTAATCAGAGGCCAAATGAATCTTATGGGACTGTATAAGGTTAATGCCTGTCTAAGAAATTTCTCAAGGACTTTCTAAAGGCTCCATTGGAGCCCTGGCTTCAATGCCTAGCACTAAAACACCTTTAGATATCAACACAATTATTTCTGTCACTTAGAGTCTGTTCCTACTGTAGCCTTGTCCAGGGGAACTTATTAGAAATGTGGACTCATCAGTCCCAGCCACAAGAGTTGTTGTTAGAACATGCATTTAATAAGCTCCCTAAGGAATCAGCATGCACATCAAAGTTTAACCATCACCACTCTCCCATTGTTCTAACAATTATTCAGGATTATGTTTGAGACTTTTCTTTTTTGAGAAAAGAAGATTTAAGTTTTTTGAGAAGAGGGCTTATAGCTTTTACTGAATTTTTAAGGATGCCTCTGCTGACCCAAAAGATTTAGAATCATAGTATTATTATGCCAAACACCAAGACCCAGAGTAAGAGAATTGAACTATGTACCAATGACCGGGCTATGGAAGCTGCTGAGGACAAACAGCTCCCATGCATAAATCACAGGATTGCTCTGGCCCATTGTATCCACTAGAGAACTGTACCAGCACAACAGCCTCCAGCAACCACAGGGCGGTGGGTGTGGGGTGAAGAGCAGGTTAACCTTGCCAGGTTTCAACCAGGGAGGCCATCTCCTCTTCTTCCTCTTCCTGTAATTAGGCCCTTTATTCTTCCCTATTCCACAACTCCCTGCTTCAGATACCTTAGCTTCAACCTTTTGTTCAGCAAATTCTAAACATTTTGTATAAAATCTCAGATTTTACTTGCCCAAACTGATTTCTTTTAAAACTGTCTTTGTGGTTTCACTATTCTTTACTTTTCATAAGGATGGCATTTCTGAATTACCTGTAACAGTACCAAAAGGACTACCACATCCAACTAATCACCAAGACATGTGGATTCTACCTGTAAATCTATTTCTGAGGCTCACTCTTTTTCATTCCTAGGACTTCCTACTCTGTTACATTAAGTCAAATATAACCCCCAGTGGGTTATCTCAAGTTTTTTCTCAATTTTAGTTATATCCTACTAACATACATCCCACAGACTACTTGTGAAAAAAATCTGTATACAAAGATACTTACATGTGAATGTCAATGATAACAAGATGAGATTCTTCTTGTCAGACCCAGGAAGTTAGGAAGAGGGAAGGTTAATGCTTGTTTAAGAAATTTCTTAAGGACTTTCTAAAGGCTCCAAAAGAGGGGTTGGAGCCCTGGCTTCAGTGCCTAGCACTCAGCTAAATAAAGGCTCAGAAAATATTTCTTCTCATTCTACATGTATCCCATTTTTGTAAGCCTGGCACATATCTTTAATGCCCTTTAAGACTGCAATAATTCAGACAAGATGCTCTTAAGAGAACATCTGCTCAGGACCAGGCATCTCCACCAATTAGCTAATGCAAATTTTTGCCTAAGGTCTCCAAGACCAGTGAACTCTGTATCCAAGTAACTTTCTCCTTTTTTGATTTTAAAATATTTCTCTTGCCAGGACTTCCTGGAATATGCCCATAGTTTACTATGGCATGCATATTCCCATTGTGATGCTCTGCTACTCCCAAATAAATACCACTGTTCTTTGAACACTCTCCCTCTTGTTGATATTTAGGTTGAAACATGGAAGCATTATTTCTATATGCAAACAATTGAAAACAATTTTACTATGGTATATCAATAAAAAGTATACCACCAGCCATTAAAAATAATGAACTGGCATATATAAAATTCAGTTGTGCGGTGGGGGTGGCTGGGGGCACAGCTCAATGGTAGAGCACTTGCTTAGCATATGCAAGGCCGTTGGAGGAATTCCCACCATAAGAAGAACAAAATAAAACAAAATAGTTGTCTCTTAGTATCCCTGGGAATCTCGTTCCAGAACCCTCTGGGATGCCAAAATCCAGATACTCAAATCCTGTTTATAAAATGGCATAGTATTTTCATATAACTTATATACATTCTCCCATATAATTTAAATCATCTCCAGGTTACTTAAAACACCTAATATGATTTAAATGCTACATAATTAGTTGTTATACAGTATTGTTTAATGAATAATGACCACCAAGAACAGCCTGTATTTGCTCAATACAGATGCAACTATCACAGGCCTATCTACGTATCACATGATCAGAGGTTGGTTGAATGCAGATACAGAACCCATGGATATGGAAGGCCAACTGTATACATATTACTTATACATATTGAGAAAGAAAAGAGCAAGTGTCAGTCAGATATACAACTTATATATATGTTATATATAGTTTCAAAATACACTTACTCATTTCACTACCTCACTAAAAATAGCAACCATGCATTCATAAGGCTGGAAACTAAGTGCCACCTCCCACCTATTCCTCACACACCCATTCTAAGCTGCAGTGACAACAGTGCCTCCCCATCTTCTGAATGAATATGACTGGTACTTTCAAATCCTACACTACTCTGGGTATGATCCTCTGCTCATTTTCAAGGCCCATGCCCTATAGCAGCTCTTGAGAAGCGACCTCCTTCTCTCAATTCCAAAGCAGTGAAAAGATATCTATCTTCTCTGTGCTCCCAATAAGGCCTGCACTTGGCTACTGCATTATTACTGAGGGCAGGGACATCGCGCATGCCTGCCTTGGGACCCAGGTCCCCAATGCTAAATGCACATCAACGGAAAACAGGGACAAGAAGCTGCACTCTGGGACTCGAAATAACGCCTTCATTTGTCCTTATAATTATCTAGACTGGCAATAAACTCACTCGCCTTAACTCCCGCATGCCCCGTCACCCTGAATTCTCAAACCACAGTGTTTAAGGACCACTGTGGCCAAAGGGGGAAGCTGCAGAACTTCCGCGGATGCTAAATCAGGGTCCAAGAAGTCGGACCCGGATTTGTGCGGGGCTCTAAGTCCCGCGGTGCTCCTTTAGAACGAATCCCATCTTCCTCCTTGGAAACAGATACACTTGCAACCAACTCGCAGCAGATCCTGAAGAAAACGCCCCTTAGGAGAATTTTATATACGTGTGTGTGTGTGTGTGTGTGCAGCCAGACACACACACACACACACACACACACACACACACACACAGTCCCAGTCTCGGGGGTTTACCGTACACGTGACTTTCGCCTCTGAGGGCAGGACGCCGCGTCCCCGAGGGGCGCCACGAGCAGCAGTGGACGGACGTGAGGGACCCTGCATACCAGAAAGGCCTGACTTACCTGGGGAGCCCCGGGGGCCCGCAAGCCTAGGAGGCAGCCGGCACCCACGCGGTGGCGACCCGAGGTGATGCAACACCCTGATAACACGCGGGGCAAGGAAGAGGCTGCCCCGGCTCCAGCCAATCAGAACGCGCTAACACCCTCCAACAACCCGAGAGGTGATTGGCCGCAAGGGGCACGACTCCGGCCACGCCCACGGGCCGAAATTTGTGCCGCAGTGCGCTCCGTGAACGCAGCTCTGCGAGGGGAGGAGCCCGGCGCTCGCAGGCGGAGGCCTGGGCGGGGCTGGCCGGAAGCCTTACGTGCTAGGCTCAGGTTGCACCCCACCGTCCCCAGCTGCGGCAGGACAGGGGGCCTCTGTCTTGCGTGTCAGCGTTCATCTAACCAGACATTTAAGGCCTGCATCTCACTTCATGTAAATTACTGTTAAAATTTACATCCTAAAAACACTGAGACTTCKGAGCAGTGGCTTGCTAACTACTGTGGGGCCTGTGCTGTAATCCAGAGGCCGCTTTCCCTGTGGTAAATGGCAAGGGAACAGATGAAAAGGCTTCATGACCATCTTTATATGATTTACTGCACTTAAAAAGAAAAAAAAGAGACTCTTCTAGAATAGGTAGAAAGCGCTTGCTTAAGTTTTAACTGAGAATATTTTGATATGTCTGTTTAGCATTTACTCAACAGTTACCATGGTCTAGGTCCATCACAAATTAGAGTAAAAGGCTTAATTTCCTCCCAAAGGAGTTTCTTGAATCACTTGGAATGTATTTAATAGTTGCATATCTTTGTTAAATGGACGTGTTTAGAATGTGTTCAAAGTTTTTTCATTTCTTAAGTTACCATCTGTTCAGTTGATTTCTGCCACTAGTCCAGAAAACAGATTGGAGAAGGACAGAGGGCTCCTGGACAGGTATGCCTGGGGGAAAAACCTACAGGTATATTCCCAGTCTGATTGTTTAAAAAGTGGACTGAGACACATTTCTAAAGTAGTGTTGGAAGGTATGGGAAGACTTCTCTAGGAAAAAGTTAATCAAAACAAAAATTAAGAAATTAGAGCCTGAGGAAGCCTGCGGACAAGCACTGAACAGACAGGCCACCTGAGTAGATCCCTTCTCCCCAGTTGAACCATTTCTATGACACCATGTGGAGCAGAGACAAGCAGTCTCTTGAATCCTCACTAAATCACATCTGTGAACAAAGTAAATTACTGTTATTGGAATGGCTTGCTATGAAGCAACAGATAAGAAAGTATGTGATTTATCCTGTTGAGTGGTTGTTCCCATTTTCCTTAATGTCTGAAGTCTTTAGGGAGGCTGATACAGGAGGACTGCCAAGTTTGAGGCCAGGCTTAGCAACCCAGAGCCTGACTCAAACTTTAAAAGATGGGCTGGGGACATAGCTCAGTGGTAAAGAACCTCTGGGTTAAATCCCTAGTAACAAACACACACTCACACAAACAAACCTGAAATCTTAGATCCATATGAATCCAGAATGATTCTTTAAGCTACTTAATATATGTATCACATTTATTTAAAAAACATACATACTGAGTATCTACTATGTGCCAGACACAGATCTATATAGTGGGAATATAATGGTTAACAAACCTGATGAAATTCCAACCCTTACAGTTTGTATTTAAGCGAGATATAAATCCAAAAATTATGACAAATATATACACACACACACATACATATATGTACACATGCATATATATGTACACACACATATATACACCTCATGGTTTGATAATAATCCCTTGGAACTGTCTACGGAACACAATTTTGTACAGACCCATTTTAATACAAGGCATATCTGTCTTGAATCCTAGCCAGGTTTGGGTACTTAGTGAGATATTAAACCTGCTTCTGGACTTGGGAATCTGACTCCAGCTCTTGACTAAAATCTTTCAAGATACCTGGTATTTTTCATAAGCTTCTGAATTCTGGGATAGATGGATTTGTCTCTATAAATTGCTCCCTACTTTCTCAAAGCCAGAGACAGGAAAACTGTTCTCTGTCTTCCTTTCCTGGTCTTCACAGAACTCTCATTTCAGTTAGCTCATTATCAGGAAATGAGTATAGGACTCAAAGTTGATATGTCAAATAAAAAGTACAAAATGGAGGTGGATGTTTGTGGTACAATCAGAAACAAATATTTCAAATACTATAACTAACATAAAGATTAACTTGGGAAACACAAGTACAATAAATCATTTATTTAAAAAGGCTTCATGCAAACTTTGCATGAGAAAATGCACACTACTTACTGAGGACGGAGGGCAAAGAGGTTATATACAAGAAGTACTTTAATGGACTTCATTTCTTGAAAGTTCCCTTTAATTTTTTTTTTTTTTCTTTTTTGAGATAGGATCTCAGTGTTGYCAAGACTGGTCTCAAATTGCTAGGCTCAAATGACCTTCACACCTTAGCCTCCCGAGTGCTGGGACTTCAGTTGTACATCATCGTGTCCAGCTCAGTTTAATTTTTTGAAGTAATCACCTAAGAAGAAATATGGAGGAATTCCACAGAAAAAGGTGGCAACCAGAATAATAATCAACAAGCCAGATTTTGAATTTTCTTCCACTTTGAAATTTCTTCTTTGATGTCTAAAACTATTTTCTGGGTCAATTTCCTTCAGTATTGTTCACGTTCAGTAACAAAACCAATGCCAACATTTACTATTTTGATTTCATTTTCCTTTTGGCTTCTTTATGTTTCTTTCGACAATCCTAGAAAAATAATAAAACCAGAAGCCTTAGTTAACAATAAAAACAAATCGTTCTCATGGTGTTCAATAATTATACAGTAAACTTTAGCTTACTGTAGAAACCTATTTTGGAAATGCTCACTGGAATAAATAAGGACTATTTAAACTCTTAGCTGTAGAAGATCAGGGAACTATAATTCAGACTTTAAAAACCCGATTTCCTAGCAGGGTGTGGTGGCAGTCCACCAAGTAATCACAGCTGTTCCGGAGGCGGAGACAGGATGAATGTGAGTTCAAAGCCAGCCTCAGCAATGGCAAGTTGCTAAGCAACTCAGTGAGACCCTATCTCTAAATAAAATACAAAAACAGGGCTGGGGATGTGGCTCAGTGGTCAAGTGCCCCAAAGTTCAATCCTTAGTACCAAAAACAAAAGAAAACAAAAAAATTTTGATTTCCTGTTACTTAATGAAAATGAACCTGGATGAACTCTGGGACCCAACACTTAAATAGCCAGACTTTCTGCCTGTACCAGCTGTGGGATGCATGAACCTCTAAATTCCCTCCAATGAGATAATTCTGAGAGTTTAAATCCTTTTCTCAGTTGTTTGTTTCTAAATTTTCATATCATATTCATAATATTCTCACACTAGGGGAATCTTAACACAAAGAACAGTTATCTATGTTCAGAGACAATGATATGGAGAAACAATTACTCACCATACGTAAGCTATTTGTTCGGGCCTCCCAAGAATTCGTGCTAACATTACTTCCCACGCCACACCAAAACATGTCAGAACCTATTAATGGAAAAACAAGAAACACAGGGCAGCAAATTACTACTGAAATGGACAACATTCTGAAGTTGGCATTATTAAGGTATCTAATTCTAGTTAAGATCTTTTAAAAAAACTTCTATGAAATTTTCAAAAATATATTTTTCTTTCAAAATCAAACATGTAGCATTGCTAGAATAGTGCTGTTGGGAGTTGCCCTGGCTCCAAAGACTAACTTCTCCATACCCCAAGAAGAGCCATCCAATGGTGAGCCCTGCTGGCTCACATGATCCTACTGTCCAATGGTAAGCCCTGCTTGCTCACATAATCCTGCCATCCAATGGTGAGCCCTGCTGCTCACCTGATCCTTACCCACCAATCAGACTAGCCCTGCTGGCTCACCTGATCCTTACCCACCAATCAGACTAGCCCTGCTGGCTCAGGACCAGCAAAGTGCTTCCTTGGGTTGCCGCCCACCACAGAAAACACCCCCCTGGGCGCCTGCTTCAAGTGTGGCAAGGAGGGACATTGGGCCAGGGCATGCCCCGCACCATGCACTCCACATACTCCATGCCCTAAATGTCAACAACAAGGTCATTGGGGCTCTGACTGTCCTAGACCCCATAGGAGGCCTATGGCCAGGGAACCCTCTGCCCTTCTGGGCATAGCAATCAATTGATGGAGCCTTGGGTCCTTGTCCCCGATCAATAGACAGGAACCCAGGGTGCGGATTCAGGTGAATGGATACAAGGTTGACTTTCTCCTTGACACCAGGCTAACTTCTCAGTCCTGACAGAATTCTGGGGCAAACAGTGCCGTCCACCTCTCCTATTGTCGGGTAGGAGGAAAGACCATCTATCCAAGAAAGACTCCCCTATTACTCTGTTCCATAGACAACTTCCCATTCTCTCAGATGTTCCTAGTTATGCCCCAATGTCYAGTTCCTTTGCTCAGCGAGATATTCTCTCTAAATTCAATACAACAATCAACATCCGGGCTCCTGGCATCAGTCAGGCCCCCTTTTGGAAGAAGACTGGCCATTCTGCTCCACTTGTGAGGCTGACATGAAACACCATACTAACCTGGTGATTGTTTAGGATACCCACACCCCCTCCACCATTTCCTGCCTAGCAGTTAACATTCATCTCAAAGATCCTAACACCTTCCCTAATCAGGATCAATACCCCCTGTCCACAAAAGCTCTTCTGGGCCTACAACCCATTATTTAGGACTTTCTTAGCAAGGAGTACCTCCGTCCTGCTCATTCCCCTTAGAATACTCCCAAACTAGCGGGAGAAAAGCCCAACAGGTCCTACCTACAACTCATCAACACCTCCTTTAGGCCCATACATCCTTTGGTTCCCAACCCATACACCCTGCTGTCTCAGATCCCCCACACTGCCACCCACTTCTTGGTCATAGATTTAAAGGATATCTTTTTGCCTTTAATCTGGACTGTCCCTCCTCAGGGATCTTGATAGTCCACACCTCTTTGGACAAACCTTGGCCTCCGGCCTCCAATCTTTTCACCGCCAGTGCCCCGAATCCACCCTCTTGCAATATGTTGATTATCGTCCAGCAAATCTCTTTGCCCACCTGCGGGGAGGAAAGCACCCCACCACAGCCTTTAAGGCTATGGTGGCCCTCAGGGACTCCTTCCTTGGGCAGATTCGAAAGTCCTAGTCCTCTCACCTTTAAGACTTGGCCGCTAGASAGACGCTTACCCTTACTCTCTTGCCCTGCCTCTCCCCTCTTTCCGGCCCTGAGAGTATCTGGCCTCTCCAGGAGGGGTCCCGAAAAGCCTTGGCCAAGGTCTCCCATGGGTCTGTCTCCGTCCAGGATGAGAGCTTYGACTGTCAGGATTTGGTGACGACCAATCTCTGCAGCTCAAACCTGCCCTGCATCTCCCTGACCTCTCCTGACCCTTCACCCTCTATGTAAAAACAGGGACAAAGTCTGGGCGTTCTGGGTCAGGATGTCCCCACATTTGCACCAGTGGCCTACCTATCCAACCCCACCGTCAGGGGCTGGCCCCCATGCCTCAGAGCCCTAGCAGCAGCCCATGACCTCCAGAAAGAAGCACTTAAGCTTACCTTTGGCTTCCCGCTAAGGATTTCCTCACTTACAAGGGGCTACAGTGACTTCCTCCTTTCAGAGTTCTATCCCTCCTTGTCTCAGTCCTTGAAACCCTGCATCCCTCCTCCCATCTTCTCCCTCACAAGATCCTGTCCACAAATGCCTGGAGGTATTAGACACGATTTTACCCTGCCCTACCACCATTTCTGAGGGACCCCTGCCCTCTTCAGACCTCGTCTGGTTCAGAGTCTCACTACTTTCCTTCACTCCTTTTTCACCCTTTCCCCATGCCATAAGACCCTCCTACAACAGATCACTTCCACTTGTCATATCTGCCAGAGAACCAATACCAACACCAATATCCATTAAAACCTAAACCTTTCCCTTCTCATCAGGCCCGTGGTCATACCCCGGCTGCAGACTGGCAGATTGATTTCACCAACATGCCACGAATAAAAAACATAAAATATCTTCTTGTATTAGTAGATACTTTTTCGGGATGGGTTGAAGCCTCTCCGACTTCTAACAAGCAGGCCTCTACAGTAGTTGGTCTGTTGCTTACTCACAGAATCCCCCATTTTGGGATGCCCACTTCTAACCAATCAGACAATGGCCCAGAATTCACCTCGCAGATAACTCAGGGACTGGCTCACGTGCTATCACTCCCTTGGCATTTTCATTGCCCTTACCGCCACCAGGCTTCCGGAAAGGTTGAAAGGACCAATCGGTCCCTTAAAGAGACCCTCACACCAAGCTCACCATGAATTAAGATTGGACTGGGTAAAGGTGCTCCCTTTGGCTTTATTGTGCATTAGAGCCTTGCCAAAGAAGCCTTCTAATCTCTCACCTTTCGAAGTCATGTATGACCTTCCTCTCGTTCCTCCCGGATTGCCTATAGAACCCCTACCCATCTCCGAAACCTATGCCCTGCCCCTCCTCTTCCATCTACACTCTGAACTCTGGTGCTATCAAGACTGGCTCCTTCCTGACCTCAGTCTCTTTCAAAACCCTACCTCCTAACACCTGGTCAACTTGTTTACTATTGCCCACTGGGAGAAAAACCCCCCTCTAAAACCAAAATGGGAGAGTCCTGCTCAGGTGATTATGTGCACTCCCTTAGCAGCCAAACTCAAACTACCTAATAACCAGCTTACCCTGTGGATTCATATTTCCAGGCTTAAGCCCAGCACTCCTACATCTTCATCAGAAGAGCCAACAATTGTCACCTGTCATTAAGTACTCTTGTCAATGCTCCGCCTCATTTCTGGCCCCTCTTGGGTCCTCTCTTCTCCCTATGTCTGAAGATTCAAGGCAAGTGACCCTAAGGGCCCCCTCCAGCCAGATCCCACCCCCCACTTGCTTGAATCTGGCTGGTAGTGGGACCGTTGTGTGTTGTCCTTCTGACAAACTACGTAGGTGTCCAGAGCATGGTAACCCCCTGAATAAGTGTGATCATGAGAGAGCACTTTACCAGTTGCTTTCTGGGCCTAAGGAGGAACATGTGTGTTTTGTTTACCCTCCCAGTTTTGTAAGAATTTCAAGTATCAGTATTTAAAGTTGAGGTGTTTCACATAAAACCTGGATAGATCTGACTGCTCTCAAAGGGAAATATGGTAACAATGGGCCACCGTCCTCCCTTGGCTGCCTTCGAGAAAGGCAAAGAGAGAAGCAAGCTGGTACACCCTAGTAGGAGAAAGCTTGAAGAGCAGCCTTAATAGAGAGGGGAGGGAGCTGGATTGACTAGGAATGAAGAGTGGAATTGAGGGTGTTAGGCGCAGGACAGGCTGGTCTGCAGGGCATGCCAAACAAAGTTAGTTGCAGTTTGACCTGGCTTCTCAAACCCTGTCTGGTTCTTTATCACCTGTTTGCTTTAAGCCCAAACGCCCAAGCTCCCGCTCAAGGTCGAACACTTAACCCCCCCTTGGGCCAACACGGCAGCTTGCAGACCCAGAGACCCCATTAGATTTGGGCTATAAAAACTCCCTGTGCCTGTTCCTTCCCCCATCATAAAGTTCATTCAGACTCAAGTGAGTAAAATTTCTAATCAAGCTTTTAACCAGCTTCTCCTCAGGAATTACCAACTCCTGGCTACTGATGGTACCTCCAATCGAGACCTATGCCGAATGGACTGACGTCATCATGGATCTGTGGTGGCATGGAACCTTTGTTGATACCTGTCTTCTCTGCCCTCCTGTGGGGGCTCCTTACTTCCCTCCTCTCTTTCTCCCACACCACCCCATTTCAGCAGGAGGCAGCCAGAATGAGTCGACACCCACTCTCATTTAATAACAAAGAGGGGGGAATGTTGGGAGTTGCCACGGCTCCAAAGACTAACTTCTCCATCCCCCAAGAAAAGCCATCCAATGGTGAGCCCTGCTGGCTCAAATGATCCTGCAATCCAATGGTGAGCCCTGCTGGCTCACATGATCCTTACCCACCAATCAGACTAGCCCTGCTGGCTCACCTGATCCTTACCCAATCAGACTAGCCCTGCTGGCTCACCTGATCCTTACCCACCAATCAAAAAGCACCCCATGCCAACTGTCAGACCACCCCCGGCTSTATAAATTTGCAGAGCTGTTCCTCAAGAAACGGGCATTTTTTCCTGATGGCAAGCCTTGAACGTTCTTTCAATTACTGTTCACATGTCTTTTACTGTAACATAACTTTGTTTCTGTTTGTGCCTAGGCTTTAAGAAGTAAGGAGTTCGCCATCAGCTTTTGAGTTTTTATGTGGACTTTTAGGGTACTAAAACCTTGATTTTGTTTGTTTGTTTTTTTTTTTAATGTTGACAGACTGGCAAGTTCCTATAACAAAACAAGCCCTTATGGATGATAACGAATGAGCAAGGAACATGGACACCGAGGAGCCCTCAGTTCTGAGAGCTTTACAAGTCAACTCGCATCAGTCTACTACAGAAGGCCAGAATCTCTAGATGCCAGTTATCATACAAGAGTGTGTGATCAGAGCTATACTATATCACTTAACAGAAAAAAGGACTTACCATGAAGTCTTTCATCATTCCTAGAGAAAAAAAAAAATCTAGTGGTCCCTTTTTCAGGTACTGATGCTTCTCTGAAAAGGGGAGGGAGAAAAAGACAGGTGTTGGTTAGTTTACTTTTGAATATTTAAGAGGAAATATTTACATTGAAAATATAAACTATTTCTTAAATATAGCTGCTTTGTTTTCCTCATTTTGCCTTGAGTTAAAATGACCCTGCCCCTTCTCCATTCAAAATTCTCTTCTAACTAAAGCTTTGATAATGAGGACTTACATACAAATTCTACCTTTCCACTCTGGTTGTTGTTGATGCTGTCACTCCCACCATCGCAACACTGTTTGCCAGTGTTCCCTTTGGGAAGGCACCCAGACAACCTCAGGATCCAGTAACTTTACCATCAGGCTCAATTCCTTGGGTGTGTGTATGTGTGTACATGTGTATATTTTATATATGCATGTATATGCACATGTATATACACACACACGTGTGTGTGTGTGTGTGTGTGTGTGTRTRTATATATATATATATATWTTTTTTTTTTTTAAGTTATTAGTTCAACCTGCCCATTAATGGTCATCTGTTTTTTTGTTGTTGTTGTTTTTTTCCTGTTTTGTGGTGCGCTCATTTACTGAGCTATAGCTTTGGGCGTATTTTATCTCCCTCCCAATTCTATGGAAATCTCAAGAAAAAGGAATCACACTCCCCACTATAAAAAGGCATATCGAAGAAGCTGAGAAAAGAAAATAAAGTTGTCCTACAAAGAGAAGCCTAGATACTTAACAAAATACTTCTAGCATGTCTAACTCAGATTTTCACAAATCACAAAGTATACCCGTATACAAACAAAATGCTTACCCAGGGCTGGACTTTCTGTGATCCGTTTCTTCAGTAACATCTTCTTCTTCTGAACTGCTGCTGTCTTGGAAATGAGGGTTTCCCTTCCAGATAGTCTTCCCAGATTTCACTGCTTCAACTTTATAAGTCTCTATATGGTTATGAAAATAAAAGGTGATGGCACAAATGAGCAACTAAGATACATAAAAGGAGTGGGGTATAGCCTAGTGGTAGAGTGTGCCTGGGTTTAACCCCCAGTATCTATCTATCTCTTGTATAAATACATATATGTATATATATATATATATATATATATTTAACATTATATACATATATATTTAACATTTGCATCAACTCTACTCAACACTCAACAGTTTAGGGCTAACCATAATGCTCAAATGAACAAGACAAGAACATAAAATAAGTGGAGCACATCATGTCTTATTTATAATTTTTGAAATACTTTTGGAGTTATCACAGAGCTGACATTTGACATATATTTGCTCAACACATGTATACTATTTTATGTGCCAATATTTAAAGTAGAATCACTGCAGTTAGTTGTGCCTGTATTCTTCTGGATAGGTCATGCTTTTTTATAGTGAATATTCTGAAAACTTCAACACGATTATCTTAAAATTAGGAAAAGAACAGTCTCCTAAAGAACAGTTTATTTTCACCTGGGGTTTTAGAGATAAATCTCCCAAAGTAGGGTGGAAAAAAAAAAGAGAAAAACAACAACTAAAAACTGGTGTTTATTCTTCTTTCTTTTAGGTTCTGAAAATTGTCAAAAATAAACTTAGAAATAATTGGCATACTGATATATTGATGACATAGCTCATTTGTATTAAACCAAGGTTACCTATTTCTTTCTCCTGTCATATGCAACATTAATTCTCCACGACTCATGCATTTCCAACTGCATTTGAGACATGGAGTTAATTAAATGATTTACTTTACTTCTTGACAACTTCATATGTAGAAGAAGGGATGTGGTACATTATTCCCTGGCTTCATATGACATATTTCCTCCCTTCATATGACAGCTGACTACAAGTTTGCTCGCTTAAATGCAAAAATAGTTTCTTTCACGTCTCAGGAGCATCACAATTATGGTCACGCAGCACTGAATCTCAGATAATTGTAAATCCACTAAACTTAAGGGAGACTCAATCAATTAAGTTTAATCTGCTTGAAATGAAAAAGTGAGGGGGGAAAACGGAAAATACCTTCCTTTACATCTTTAACGTCTGAATCAAAGAAGGAGAACATGAACCCGCTGGGCTGCTCAGTCCCACTTGTCAGAGCTGTAGCATTATCAATTTCCTCGGTTTTATCTCCACCACAGTCCAGGTTCCAGGCTGTCCCTTCGTCCTTTTCACTGGTATCTTTTGTATTTTGGAATATTTCTTTCAAATTCGTAGCAATGTTGTAATACATTTCCTTAGACACCTCAGGTAGCTTCTCCGCTTCCTCCCTTTTCTTTTTCCGCTTTGCTTTACTACAATGACATATACAGGTACATATGTTACAAAGAAAAAAGTTTTGGAAAGTTTCTAATAATCAGAAAAGGTAAACTCCTAGGATAACTTTAATTTCATCCTTTTAACAACTAAAAATATCCAAAGTATCTTGACCAATAAGCACAAAAAATGCAAATATTTAGCATGAATCATATTCTCCTTTTATCCTCTAAACCATGTTTCCAAAATTATACTTAAACTGTTACCTGTAAATAGAGAAATCATTTAGCCTCAGTGGGCCTGTTTCCATGTCTTTGAAATGAACCTGTTATATCAAATGACTTCTCAGATCATTTTAAGTTCCAAAATTCTGTGAGTTTTAAGAAAGTGATGGGTCATCAATTAATTATCATTCAGTTTTAGAAGTGAAACATAAATGTGCTTAGTCTCTTGAAATCAGATTTTTATGTTGTCATAAATTTGTTCTGCAGTTAGGGATGAATATGCTTTTCTCTTTGATCTTATATAGAAAGTTACATGGTCATTTTCAATATTGAGTTTTCAGCTAATGAAAAGATTAAAATCCTTTTTCCTAGATTAGTCCACTCCATGTATAAGACCAGGCAAGAAGTTCTTAATGTATTACTTAAAATTGAACAGGATGTCCTAAATAACCATTTTAATGGTGAAGGTCATCTCAAAGAAAGAAACTGTTTATACTTCATAAAATAAACCACTTGGCTAGGTTTTAAGATGGATGTATCTCCTATGAAACTGAGCTCTAAAAAAGAGCATCACATGAATAGCTTCAGGCCATTTTGATTGAACCATCACGTGGTGGCTTTAAAACTGGTCTCAAATTCCTTGATACTTTTTTCAAGAGGTAGAAGGCAATTTCCTCATTCCTTGGGCATGGACTTGACTTAGTGATCTGTTCACAAAGAAAAGAAGGCAGATGTGGTACTATGTGACTTCTGAGACAAGGATATAGCAAAAGCCTAAAGGATCTTAAAGAAACCATTATTAGGAACCACATGGCCTTGAGGAAGTTGCAGGTAAGGAATTGCAGAAAAGCATGATAAATGATATTGAAAATTGGAGGAAAGTGGATCCCTATTACATGATGGTCAAAAGTTCAGCAACATTACCTGTATTACTGTAGAAAATAGAAAATGTACCCAATTAACCAGATGATCTAGCTGATCTAGCTAAGGAGACACCCAGAAAAGCTGAAGGCTTTTTTTTTTGGACGGGGTCTTCTTGATGCTTAGAATAAAATGTGAGAGAAGTAAACCTAAAGGGAATATATTTTTCTTTCATAGGCACCAAGATATCATGATTTTAAAGATTCCTCATCTCCAGAAGGCAAATGACATAAAATTTAATAAGTGGTTTCTAAGCAAAAATCAAATCTATGCCACCCAGGAAAACATGATCTAAAGCAGGAGTAGCAAACTATGGCCCCTGGGCCAAATCTAGGCTGCTGCCCCTTCACATTAATATTTTTTACAGTTTGAAATGACCAGGGAGATAAGGGTGATTTTATGACATGTAAGTTATATAAAAGGCAAATTGTAGTGTCTGTTAATGGTTTTATTGGAAAGCATCTCCCTGTTTTTCTGATACAAGGGTAAAGGGCAGGGCTGGGGATGTGGCTCAAGCGGTAGCACGCTCGCCTGGCATGCGTGCGACCCGGGTTCGATCCTCAGCACCACATACCAACAAAGATGTTGTGTCTGCCGAGAACCAAAAAATAAATATTAAAAATTCTCTCTCTCT